GCCTGGAAGCTTCTGCACAGCAAAGGAAGCAATCAACAGAGTGAAGAGACAACCCACAGAATGGGAGAAAATATTTGCAAACTACTCACTTGACACGAGATTAATAACCAGAATATATATCAGTTCAATAGGAAAAAATAAATAATCTAATTAAAATGGGTAAAAGACCTAAGTAGACATTTCTCAGAAGAAGACATACAATGGTCAACATCACTAATCATCACAGAAATGCAAATCAAAACCACAATGAGATATCATCTCGCCCCAGTCTAAAAGGCTATTACTTAAAAAATAGGCTGGGAGCGATGGCTCATGCCTGTAAACCCAGCACTTTGGGAGGCTGCTTGAGGTGGATCCTTGAGGTCAGGAGTTTGAGACCAGCCTGGCCAACATGGTGAAACCCCATCTCTACTCAAAATAGATAAATCAGTCGGGCATGGTGGTGCATGCCTGTAGTCCCACCTACTCCAGAGGCTGAGGCAGGAGAATGGCTGGAACCTGGGAGGCAGAGGTTGCAGTGAGCTGAGATCGTGCCATTGTACTCCAGCCTGGGCAACAGAGTGAGACTCCATCTCAAAAAATAAAATAGAATAAAAAATAAATAAATAACGAACGCTGGTGAAGATGGAGAGAAAGAGAATGCTTACACATTGTTAATGGAAATGTAAAGTAGTACAACCATTATGGTAAACAACTTGGAGGGTGCTTGACAAGCTAAGCTACCTTATGATCCATAAGCTTATGGATGATCCAGAAATCTCACTGGCGGATATATAGCCAAGACATGGAATCAACCTAAGTGTCCATCAATGGATGAATAAATAAAGTAGATGGTAACCATCATTCTATTCTCTACTTCCATGATCCACTCTTTAAGCTCCCACATGTGAATGAGAACATGGGATATTTGTCTTTCTGTGCTTAGCTTATTTCACATAAGATAATGACCTCTACTTCTATCCATGTTGTTGCAAATGACAGGATTTCATTCCTTTATGGCTGGGCAATATTCCATTGTGTATATACACCACATCTTCTTTATCTATTCTCGGCTCACCGCAACCTCCACTTCCCAGGTTCAACCAATTCTCTTTCCTTAGCCTCCTGAGTAGCTAGGATTACAGGCAGGCACCATCACGCCTGGCTGATTTTGTATTTTTTATAGAGACAGGGTTTCTCCATGTTCGTCAGGCTGGTCTCAAACTCCCAACCTCAGGTGATCCACCTGTCTCAGCCTCCCAAAGTGCTGGGATTACAGGCCTCCGTGCCTGGCCACAAACAAAAACTTTTAAAGCGATGTTAACATATTTATTTGACAAAATAATTTTGAAATAAAAATACTTTTTATTTACTTTCCTATTTCCTCATAGATAATAAAAGCATTTAAGGCTAGTTTTCATATTTTTTTCTTTAATTTATAAATCATTTGGTTTTAATTTTCTTTTTGATGTGGGAATTTTGAACTCTTAAAAAATTTTACCAACTGGATTTTTTTTTTACATTTTGATTTTTTCTTTTTTAGACAGAGTCTTGCTGTGTCACCCAGGCTGGAGTGCAGTGGTGCGATTCGGCTCACTGCAATCTCTGCCTCCCAGGTTCAAGTGATTCTCCTGCCTCAGCCTCCTGAGTAGCTGGGACTACAGACCTGCACCACCATGCCCGGCTAGGCTAACTTTTTTTTTTTCTTTGTATTTTTAGTATTTGAGGTGATGGATATCCCAATTACCCTGGTTTTGATTAAAAAAGAAGTGTATACATTTTGGCTTTATAGGGTAGAAACATATGTATTTACATGCATGCATTTCTTTATTGTATACATTTCTTCATTGTTTAAACAAAACTTCTTCCATATTTTTCATTACCTACTTTATCAAATGCTGAGAAGAGTATAATAAAGCTAAGGGCGCCTGAGACTAAGTTATTAAATCCGTCTCAGATCTCAGCCCAAGAAGAAACTTTTGAAAATAAATATTTGTACAGGAGTGAATCAATTTTATAAATATATATTTGATAAAAATGAATAAGCATTGAATATATTATGGAATCATAGATTCATGGAATATTAGAACTTTGGAAATCATGAGCTTTGCTTGCCTGACTCCTTACATTCTCAGGTAGAGAAACAAACCCAGAAAAATGAAGTTGAGTGTCCAAGCTCAAGCAACAAGTTTGTGCACTAAGCTGAGTTCCCCCTTGCCCCGAGATAGCTTCTGTGCCCAGACAGAGTCCAAACAAGAACACATCTATGTGTCTCTAATGAGGACCTCTGAGGAATCCACTCTAGGGGCACCCAAACTTAGCAATTCTTGCTGCCCTGGTCCCATGGGAACCTTGATCTCCCAGGGGATGGAGGATCTGTTTACTCGTGCCCAGTCATCCAAGCCCCAAGCAGAACCCAGGCTCTAGATGGATACCAGGCTCCAGGTGGCACCAAACCCCAGTCGAACCTCAGACGTCAGGTGGACATCAGGTCCCTGGTGGATGCCTACACTGCAGGTTGACATCAGACCCCAGGAGACACAGCCCTCAAGTGACTACCAGGCCCAAGGTGACTGTGTAGGTCCAGGTGGGTATCAGGCATAGGTGACTCAGGACCCAGGTGAACGCCAGGCATAGATGAACAGCAGGCCAAGGTGGACATAGGCCCCCGGTGAACACAGGTCCAGATGGATGCCCAGCCTGATGCACACCTGCAGACCAGAGGTTCACCTGCATTCTGATTCTCCTTGGGGCTTGGGTGTTTTCCTGGGACCAATAACCTGCCTGGGGTATTTACCTTGGGTCTGATGTCCACCTGGGGCCTGGTATCCATCTGGGGCCTGGGTGTCCACCAGGGGCCTGATGTTCACCTGGGGCCTTCTGTTTAACTAGGCCTGATTCCATCCTGAGACTGGGTGTCCACCTGGGTCTGTGTCCCCGTGTGACTTGGTGTCCAACTGGGACGCTGGACACCGGTAAACACCAGGCCCCATGTGGATTACTATGGTACACCTGATGTACACCTTGATTCAGCGTCCACTTGGGTCTGGTAGCTACCTTAGCCTGTTGTTCACCTGGGCAGGCGTTGTGCTGGGCCTTAATGTCTACTAGGAGCCTGCTGTTTACCGGGGGGTCTTGATCCCACCTGGGCCTGGTTTTACATGGGGTCTGATACCCTTCTGTGGCTTTGGTTTCAATCTGTGGCCTGATGTTCACGTTCACCAGGCATCTAGGTATCCATATGAGGCCTGATGTTACCCTGGACGTGATGTTCACCTGGGGCCTGGTGTCATCCTGGGCGTGGGTGTTCACCTGGCGCCTAGTATTTACATGTGCTCTCCTGTTTACCGAATTCTTAGGTGTCACTTGTATCTTAATTTCTACCATGAGCCTGATGTCCACCTGGAGCCTGGTGTCACCCTAGGGCCTGAAATCCTGGGGACTAGCTGTCCAAGTGGAGCCTAGGTATCACTTGGTATTCACTTGGGTCTGAATTTCGCCTGGGGTCTGATGTCCATTCGGAGTGAAGTTTTCACTTGAGTCCTCATGTAAACCTGGTGCCTGGCTGTCAGCCTTGAGCCTGATGTTCACCTGGGATCCTGTGTCCACATTGGGACTGATTATTCACCTGGTGCCACGTGTGCACGTGGGACCTTGTCTACCTGGGGCCTAGGAGTACTCCCTAGGCCGGGTGCCTACCTGGGTTCTGATATCCACGTCGGGCTTGGTGTTCGCTTGGGGCCTGATGGCTACTTGGGGCTTGCGTAGCCTCTGGGGATGGGTGTTCTGGGTGTTCTTCTGGGGATGGGTGTTCACCTGCAGTCTGATACCTACTTGGGGCTTGAGTATCCTCTCGGGGCCTGATATTCCCCTATGACCTGGTGTGCAACTGGGCCTGGGTGTCAGCCTGGCACCTGAGTTCAGTGTCCACTTGGGGCCTGGTGTTTAGCTGGGGCCTGATACCCACCTGAGGCCTGGGTGTTTAGGTGTGGCCTGTTATCTTTCTGTGGCCTGGGTGGTTATCAGGAGCCTGAGGTTCACCAGGCCACCTAGGTATCCACCTGGACCAAATGTCTCTCTGGGGCCTGATGTTCATTTGTTGTCTGGTGTTTACCAAGGGCTTGGGCATCCACCTGTTGACTGATGTTCAGCTGGGGCATAGATACTCACCTGGGGCCCGAGGGTACACCTGGGGCCTGACGTCTGCCGGAGGCCTAGTAATCCACATGGGTCTGGTGTTTACCGGAAGCCTAATGCTCACCTTGGGCCTGGTGTTTGCCTGGAGCCTTGGTGTCAACCTGGGGCTGGACATCCACCAGGGGTCTATTATCCACCTGGAGACGGGATGTCCAATTGGATTCTGATGTCCACCTAGGATCATCCTCATGTATGGTGGATGAAATTTAGGGCCTGGTGGTAAAATTTAAAAGAGAACCTTAAAAGCTATCGAGGCAAGTGAAGCAAGCAGAGGAAGGTCATTCCATTCCAGCAATGAGAAGAATGCGAGCCCAGCGATGGAGCCATGAGCAGCTCAGTATGTGTTGGGATCTGCAAGAGGGAGGGAAGTTGTGGGTGCACTGGAATACCAGACCCGGGATGGGAGGATGCTTTTCAAGCTGCCTTTCGCTGTCTCCTGGAACGTCATAGGAAGCCAGACTTATTCTTTGTAGGTCAGAGTTGAGTGTTATGTAACATCAACGTTTCCAACGAAGTAGAAACACTTTTCGTAGATAGAAGAGACAGCACTTGCAAAAATTTAGGAATGTGAGGGAACATACGTTGGGAATGATTTTGTTTTTAAAACAATTAACAGTTTTTTCTTTCTTTCTCTTTCTTTCTTTCTTTTTCTCCTTCCTTCTTTCCTTCTTTCTTTTCTTTCTTTCTTTCCTTCTTTCCTTCTTTCTTTCTTTCTTTCTTTCTTTCTTTCTTTCTTTCTTTCTTTCTTTCTTTCTTTCTTTCTTTCTTTCTTTCTTTCTTCCTTTCTTTCTTTCTTCCTTTCTTCCTTTCTTTCTCTTTCTTTCTTTTTTTGAGACAGTCTTGCTCTGTCACCCAAGCTGGAATGCAGTGTCACGATCTCAGCTCAGTGCAACCTCTACCTTGCAGATTCAATGAATCTCCTGCCTTAGCCTCCTGGGTAGCTGGGATTACAGGCACACACCACTACGCCTGGCTAATTTTTGTATTTTCAGTAGAGACACGGGGTCTTGCCATATTGCCCACGCCGGTCTCAAATTCTGGAGCTCAATGAGATCCTCCCACCTCGGCCTCCCAAAGTGCTGGGATTACAACCAGGAGCCACTGCACCCAGCCAGGATGCTTGTTTTTTAACCTTTTATTTCTCTGGCATCTGGGCTCTATGGGGTGTGGAAAGGGAAAGTGGTAGACATTTAGTGACACAGAGGAGACTTGGACCTAAATCGTGAGACCCTGAAGTATGAATGCTTTGGAGGAGAATAGAGATCAAAAGTTGATGATCAAAGTAATTATTTACAAATAACTATTTCCATTAGTTTATTTTAATTTATAGTTCTGTATAAAATTGGAAGTAGTGTTCTTTATGTAAAACTACAACAGATTTTATTCTTTTTCTAACATTTCTATTCTAGTTAAAGAACCATGAACGATCTCGTTGATAACTGGAATGAAAATGTTCCAGCTGCTTATAAGATTTTTTAAAGGTAATTCTTTACAACAGCCTTGCGGGGTGCAGGTTGGTGTGAAAGAAGAGTGAGTTACGGGGATGATACGAATATCAAAGAGAAACTAATGAATAAAGAAGTCCAACATTAAGATTAGTTTCAGAAGAAGTAATTTGCCACTAAAATTTTCAGATTTCCTTTTCACTTACATAGGAGTGTGGTTAATTAGGGAAGATATTTCTAACACCTGCACTTTTAGAACCATATTTATTATGCAATATTGCAAAGCAGTCTTTCCTTCCACAACCCCCAGTCCCAGGACAAAAAAAATGTACGAGGGAAAGTACCTCAGCAAACCCAGTCAGAATGTGCTATGTTTGAAAATAGCCATTTTGTGGAGACCTTAGCTGAAATTTGGCTTTGAAATAATCTGGGGGCATTTCTGAATTCTTACCTGCATTCGATTCACTAGTTTAGAGGTAGGTACCATACTACCATAGCCATGCATCTAATGGTGGCAACCTTTAAGGTTGAATATAATATGTTTACCAGAATTGACCTAGATTTGGCTGATCTTTAAGGAAATGTTTAGATGAGGCCAGTTATGATTTCACCCTGTGTGAAAGAGCATGCATATGTTTTTGCCATAGGTGTGTTTTCTTTACATTATTTACACAAATAATTTTCTATAATACCTGGGGGCAAACTGGGGAATTTGCAGTCCAATTGGCAGGTCCCCTCGGAGACCCACGGGCCGATGGCATTGGTGCAGAGTGGTCAGGTTCAGAGTGCAGCTTGTGGCTCCTGTCCAACTTGCAGGGGGCTCTTCCTCCACATCCCAGCTGCCGTTTTCATAAAACAATCCGTGGTGTCCCACTCTGAGATTGGGCTCCTGGTGCTCCCACTCGCATTGCTGTAGCAAGAGATCCATAGAACATATTTTTAAATGTTACTTGCTATTTGCTTAAACGTAGACTTTTCTAGGCTATTCCTTTTCCTTACTCCATTACTGAACAACTCCCTTGCTTCTTCCTTCCCCTCCAGTATCACTCCCAAGTAAGGGATTGGTTTTAGTCCCAGAACTGAAGTACCCTGAGCTCCATTCTGAGCAGTACTCCAAGAGACCCACATTTGATTTATATTTTGCATTTAACAAGTTTAGCGAGTAGTTATTTTTGCTGGATTTATGGACCCTCTGTTTTAGATTTTCAAGACAAGAAAAACTTTTACTGACCTCTTCCTTAATGTTTTATTATAATGCAGACCTGTACAGTGGTGTATGCTGAAGATACTGGAATGCCTATGTGCTCTTCTACCAGAGGGTATCTGATCAGAACTCCTCAGTATGACCAAAGAAAATTGAGTTAGCATTGTCCTGCAGGAAGCTGAGGATCTCTCTCTGTAAGTTTTTTTTCCATATAATTTGGTGTGTGCTTTGAGTAGGTATGGTATGATCTTTAAAAAGCTCAGGCAAGGCCAGGCGCCGTGGCTCACGCCTGTAATTCCAGCACTTTAGGAGGCCAAGGCAGGCAGATCACGAGGTCAGGAGATCGAGACCCTCCTGGCCAACATGGTAAAACCCCATCTCTACTAAAAAATACAAAACATTAGCTGGGCATGGTGGTGCACGCCTGTAGTCCCACTTTGGGTTGGATACAGTAACTGAAAGGGACTTTGGTCTTCTTTTTTTTTTTTTTGAGACGAAGTCTCACTCTGTCGCCCAGGTTGGAGTGCAGTGGTGCTATCTCAGCTCACTGCAAACTCCGCCTCCCGGGTTCATGCCATTCTCCTGCCTCAGCCTCCCGAGTAGCTGGGACTACAGGCGCCCGCCACCATGCCCAGCTATTTTGTTGTTGTTGTTGTTGTTGTTGTTGTTGTATTTTTAGTAGAGATGGAGTTTCACCGTGTTAACCAGGGTGGTCTCAATCTCCTGACCTCATGATCCACCTGCCTCGGCCTCCCGAAGTGCTGGGATTACAGGTGTGAGCCACCGTGCCCGGCAAGGGACTTTGGTCTTTCTTGCTTGGGGCTGGGATGAGTGTGTCCTCTGTGAGAAGAAGGAGGCGCAAGGCAGACTGAGTGGCCACAGCTGTAACCTGGGGGCACAAAGCAGACTTCTGTTACATACTATTCTTCTTTTCTTCCTTTTAACAGAACCATCCCTTGAGGTTCACCTGGGCACATGGCTGACCAACTACACACTAGATTTTCCAGACTAATTTGTATCAGTTTTCTTTATTCCTATAAAAGTTGTTTATTTATTGCACTTACATGCTAAGATACCATTCTCAAAGGACCATGAAAGCAGAAATGGTTAATATATGAAGCTGTCTACAGGCATGATAGAATAAAACGTTTAAAAATTATTTGGGTCTGGCTTAAATAAGTTTAACAGGGTAAAAAAAGGTATTATCTGACAATATTCAACAAATAATTCTTCACTTAATTTCTCATTGAAGCAATCACCTTAATATTATTCATTGGCCTTGATAAATGTGAACACTGCTCATATTTATGTAAATAATGGTCACGTGGCTTTCTTGGCATATCTAAATTTATGTTAGATCTGGCTTAACGTGTGCTTATACATGTATAGGCTATAGTTATGTATCTTAAGTGTGTATAAGAGTTGGAATATTTGAAAGACAGCAAAATTTTAACTGAAAAAATAATATCCAATAATAGTTGACCTGTTGATTAAAGTAAGTAGTTATTATGAAAGAGAAAAAAGGTGATTTCAAATTGATTCAGAAGAACTGGCCCAGCAACTAAGACTGTATGCTTTCCTTTAAAAAAAAAAAAAAAAGAACTGATATGTTATGTGACAAATACAGAAATTACAAAACTAGTTAAATTGACGTTGCCATTAAAGCAACATTAAATAGTTTTGGGGGAGAAGAAAGAAGCCGAGAAGATGGTATCTGTGCACTTAAGATGGTCATGTCATTTGATATAAGTAAGTACAAAGCAGCCTGAGGCCCACACCTGCACGATGCTGAAAAAGCTGACCAGTGTTACATATTCAGCCCTAGATGAAATGCTGCATTTATTTTTTAAACACTGGTATGCATTGTTTTAAAAATATATAAAATAACGGTGAAAAGTTAAAGAATCGTAAGAATGTAGCTAAATGTAAAAAAATTTTGCAAAGCCATAGTTTTATGATGAAACAAATATATTTTTTATCTTTTATGTATAATGTTTTAATGCTTTTTTGACCCAATGAAATGTGGAAGTGTTTTGTGATTTTGATTTTACTATAGCGATTGTTTTATAAACAAAGAAAAAATTACTTCAGGATTGCAGAGATGGTAAACTGTTAAAATAGTTTGGGTATTAAATTATGAAATAAGGCCGGGCGCGGTGGCTCAAGCCTGTAATCCCAGCACTTTGGGAGGCCGAGGCGGGTGGATCACAAGGTCAGGAGATCGAGACTATCCTGGCTAACATGGTGAAACCCCGTCTCTACTAAAAATACAAAAAACTAGCCGGGCATGGTGGCGGGCGCCTGTAGTCTCAGCTACTTGGGAGGCTGAGGCGGGAGAATGGCGTGGACCCGGGAGGCGGAGCTTGCAGTGAGCCGAGATCAGGCCACTGCACTCCAGCCTGGGAGACACAGTGAGACTCCGTCTCAAAAAAAAAAAAAAAAAAAGAAATAATTGGGTATTAAATAATTCAGAATCCAAGCGATGCAATTGAACAGATCTGTAGGCATCTGTAAGTGCTGAGGTGAAAGTGCCAACCAAAGCAGTTAGATTGAACATTAATGCCTGGAGGTCATCAATAGAGGAACTGGCTGTGGACCTTCACCTTGGCATCCCCTTTGTTTTCTGCTGTAGCTGGGTATCTTGCAAAAACAAAAACAACAACAACAAAAGCCACTTATTTCTTAAAGACAGAGAAAGGATATTTCCTTCAATTTAAGCATTCCTAAATTGCCACACCCTGCGCTCTTGGAGGAGGCCAAGGCAGAGCAGACCCTCAGGTGGGTGGGCGGTGCACTTGACCCTGATGATATCAGGTACCAGGCCCGCCAGCCCCCGCAGGTGCGGAGCTGCAGCTGCAGCCACCAGCCTAGACGTGGCGCGCGGGCAGCGAGTGGCAGCGAGTGGCTGGACACCGCAGACCAGGCCCCCATCCCCAGCAGCGCCGATTCTGGGGCCAGTCGCCCAGGCAACAAAGTCAGGCGGTCGGCTTCACCAGCAGCAGATCAGTCTCATCCATGTGGATTGCCCAGCGCCAGGGTCCAGGATCCGGAGAGGTGTCCGGGAGGAGAGGACCCTCAGACCAGGTCTCGCCGACCCCGACATCATTCAAGGGAAGCTCCGCCATCCCTCGCCAGTGCCAGAGGTGCAGCTGCAAACTGCCAGTCCTGGCACGGGAAGCGGTGGGGCGGGTGGGGGAAGGGGCAACCCCAGACTGTCCTTGCCTCTCCCGCTGCCTGACACCAGCCAGGCAGCCCCCAGGGCCAGAGCCTCAGCGCTGAAGCCAGGCCATCCGTGAAGCCAGCCCGGTGGCCGCGGAGTGCCCGTGCCAGCCCCAGATCTCCCTGCGGACGATGAGCAGGGTAGGTGCGTGGCCAGACTGGCCCCCCTCCTCAGGCAGGGCGGGCTGCGCGCCTGCGATTTTCCGCCTGTGGTCCCGGGGCTGCCCGGGCCCGCCAGGAGAATCGGCGAGCCCAGCGGTGCCTGCCCCGGGCTGCAGCCCCACCTGTCGGCGGGCGCTGCCTGGGAGCGGCTTCCGGGAGTCGGGAGGCCCCCGCGGTGCAGGCGCGCGCCTGACGGCTTTGCGAGGCTCACTGGGTCTGAGAGGTCAGTAGGTCTGAGAGGTCGGAGGCTGCGAGTGTACTGGCCCCTCTCCTCGGGCAGGGCTGGCTGCGCGCCTGCGATTTTCCAACTGTGGTCCTGGGGCAGCCCGGGCCAGCCGGGAGAACCCGCGAGCCCAGCGGCGCCTGCCCCGGGCTGCAGCCCCACCTGTCGGCGGGCGCCGCCTGGGAGCGGCTTCCGGGAGCCGCGTGGCCCCCGCGGTGCAGGCGCGCGCCTGACGGCTTTGCGAGGCTCACTGGGTCTGAGAGTTTGGAGGCTGCGAGTGTCGCTGCTGAAGGGTGGAACGGGCTGGATCGCGGATTCTGGGCTAGATCGCAGGGGTTGGGTCGGGGATTGGGAGTTGATTGGGGGTTTGGGGCTGGGTGTGGGGCGGGGGGTGATGAAAAGGGGACAGGGAGCTGCCGCGGCTCAGGAGCCGGTGGTTGGGGGTCTGAGAAGAACTCACCTCCTTGAAGAAGTTCTTCGGCTTCGGGAGCCGCAGGGGCCAGCGGGCCTGGGCCCCACAGACCACGTCTGCACGGGTTCGGGGCACCGAATCTGGGACGCGGAACTGCGGAGGATCCACAGGGCGCTGTCACGGGCGATGCCGCGGAGGTGGAGCGCCGCCTGGCGCGCGGAAGCAGAGACCTGGAAGCCTGGGACAGGCCGCACAGGGAGCGGGGGGCTCGGCCCAGGGTGGGAGGGGGTCCCCGGGCCCGGCTTCCCCGCAGCCCCTGGGACCGGGCCTTGGAGGGCGCAGGACGCCCTCGGAGCGGCGGTGCCAAACGGAGCCTCAGCTGCTCTGCATCCCTCATAATTCCCCGGCCGGAGCACTTGGTGGAGAATGTGAGTGATTTAACTCACAAAGCGAAGCATATACAGTGTTTTTATTTTTAACCTACACGTTTAAATCATGGTGTTATGTACATTATAGGAGGTGCCTAATGAGAGAACTCATTCCCCTATCAAAAAATACCGTGAGTCAGCCGTGCGCGGAGGCTCAAGCCTGTAATCCCAGCACTTTGGGAGGCCGAGGCGGGCGGATCAGGAGGTCAGGAGATCGAGACCATCCCGGCTAACACGGTGAAACCCTGTCTCTACTAAAAATACAAAACTTAGCCGGGCGTGGTGGCAGGCACCTGCGGTCCCAGCTACTCGGGAGGCTGAGGTAGGAGAATGGCATGAACCCGGGAGGCTGAGCTTGCAGTGAGCCAAGATCACGCCACTGCACTCCACCCTGGGTGACAGAGGAGACTCCATCTCAAAACAAAAACAAAAACACCGTGAGTCATTTTTAGTAGCGAAAAGTTCTCACCTAAAACTGTCCGTTTTATCTGTATCCACCTGTGTAGATCGGTTCCTTACTGAAGGTTCTTAGAGGGAAACTTGGAAGTGGGAGGTGGGTTCTGTGTTGTTGAATGGGAAGACACATTTTTCTCAAAATGTGAGCTCTTTCTGCGTTTATCAAGTTTACAGAAGCCGAATGAAAAAATCAAGGTTTTAACAGTTTTGCTTGACACCTACTGTCTTTTACTATTGTAATGACATTTTTAAAAATTTTAGGGCTGGGCACGGTGGCTCACGCCTGTAATCCCAGCACTTTGGAAGGCCGAGGTGGGCGGATCAGGAGGTCAGGAGTTTGAGACCATCCTGGCTAACACGGTGAAACCCCGTCTCTACTAAAACAACAACAACAACAACAAAACCCGTCTCTACTAAAACAACAACAACAACAACAAAATAGCCGGGCGTGGTGGCGGGCGCCTGTAGTTCCAGCTACTCCGGAGGCTGAGGCAGGAGAATGGCGTGAACCCGGGAGGGGGAGCTTGCAGTGAGCCGAGATCCCAAAGTGCTGGGATTACAGGTGCGAGCCACTGCGCCCGGCTTGAAAAGTGCATCTTCGTTTTACAGGGAATTCTTTCAAATCAAATAATCAAAAACTCTGAAAGTGGGCAAAGTACTTTTTTTGCAGATCTACAAGTTACTTATGTACATAGAAAAAAAAGCCTTTGCGTTTCTGGTATAAGAATTTAAATTAAAAGAGGAATGAAACTGTTCTCTATCCACATATGTGTGAGGATGTTTTATACGCTGCTTAAAGTTTAAGTTGCTGATTACTTTTTAAATACATAACATGGTGGTAAGTACTACATTTAAAACATGTGTATGCCCGTTACCCTTCAATTCCATTATACTGAAATACCCTTGGGAAATAGATACATGCCCTTTGTTTTTCACAGCACTAATTTTAAAAAGAACCCATAGAATGGATCTTGTGAGTAAATTTCAGTTGCATCCATAGGATGGAATAATATGTGACCACTGAAGGTGACAATAGATACAGAAGTATGTTGATGTGCAAAGATGTATTTTATTATAGCCAGCGAGGAAAAAAGAATCAGTTTGATTATACATTTAGCAAACATTAAGAATTTAATATGGTAAATAGTTTTATTTCAGTATTGAAATAGCAATTTTATTTATTACTTGTTTATACATAGAATTCGACAGCAAATTTTGGAACATAAAGAGAAGATTCTTAAAAATGGCAATCCAGGCCGGGTGCGGTGGCTCACGCCTGTAATCCCAGCACTTTGGGAGGCCGAGGCAGGCGGATCACGAGGTCAGGAGATCGAGACCATCCTGGCGAACACGGTGAAACCCTGTCTCTACTAAAAATACAAAAATAATTAGCCGGGCGCGTTGGTGGGTGCCGGTAGTCCCAGCTGCTCCGGAGGCTGAGGCAGGAGAATGGCGTGAGCCCGGCAGGCGAAACTTGCAGTGAGCCGAGATCCCGCCACTCCACTCCAGCCTGGGCAACAGAGCAAGACTCCGTCTGAAAAAAAAAAAAAAAAAAGGCAATCCAGGTAAGACTTCTGATAGTGAATTTCTCATTTCTCTTGGTGGTCCTACTCTTGATTTAAAAAAATTAAAATGTAAGATTAAGGTAGTTTTGAAGGAGAAAGACAAGTTTAAAAATATGTGTAAATTGCATGTGTATATATATATACGTGAATTAATTTTTAAATTTAACTTTTTTAGTTTGGAATTCAGAGTTATTTAAGAAGGTAGTTATAGCTATTTATAATCTCAAACAGTATTATCTGAAAAGAATTCATTTACTTCATTATGATCCCTAAAATCCTATATAATATTTATGTTTTCTCTATAGTCACATTGTAACAAATTGGACTTGTGATACATATGGATCTTCTAGTTCATTTTTATAATAGATTGTTTATTTTTATAATAAATTGTCTATATTTAGTAAATAAATATTACAGTTGACCCATGAATAATGTGGGGGTTGGGGACTCTGATTCCAGTGCAGCTGAAAATCTAAGTATAATTTTTGATTTTCCCAACTTAGCTACTAATAGCCCACTATTGACTGGAAGCCCTCCTGATAACCTAAACAGTCGATTAACACCTATTTTGTTTGTGCTGCATTATTATATACTGTGTTCTTACAATAAAGTAAGCTAGAGAAACGAAGCTGTTTTTAGAAAGAAAATCAGCAGGAAAAATATATTGACTTTTCATAAAGCAAAAATGGATCCTCAGAAAGGCCTTCATCTTTATCGTCTTCAGGTTGATTCGGCTGAGAAGGAAGAAGAGGTTGGTCTTGCTGTCCCTGGGTTGCAGAGGCAGAAGAAAATCTGCATATAAATGAACCCCTGCAGTTCAAACCCTTGCTGTTCAAGGATGAACTGTATTACCTATTAATATGTGTCACTAAGAAAGTAACTATCTGTAGAACCAGGAACTCAACAATCCCTTTCTCGTAGAATAAATAAATGGCCATAAGAACTGTAAAACTGAACCAGTATGCAAATATAAAACCTGCAAATATAAAATCTCTGGATGTTAACTCATTTCTTGGTGTACAATTCTTAAAATCCTTAGGATTTCCAAAGTGACATCTTTTTGTATGCTAATAATCGATGGCTGGAAGCCCTTAGATAGCTTCAGGATGGGAACTGGTCACCATCCTGAAGACATGATTGATTAGAGGGTTGAGATCTTCTGTCTCACTCTGGAGACTCTGGGGAGGAGAGAAGAGCTGAAGGTTGTCAGTCACCAATGGCCAGTGATTAATCAGTGATGCCAGTGTAATGAAGCTTTCATCAAGACCCACAGTGACTGGGCTTGGAGAGCTTCCAGATGGCTGAATGCATGGGAGGTTTCTACAGGGTGGTGTGTCCTGGGAGGGCATGGAATCTCCATGCCACTTCCCCCATTCTTTGCACTATGCATCTCTTCTTCTGTATCTTTTGTAATGTCATTCATAGCGAACTGGCAAATGTGTTTCCCTGAGTACTTTGAGCCACTCCAGCAATTCAATTTAACCTGAAGAAGGAGTCCTAGGAACCCCAGTTTGAAGCCAGTTGGTCAGAAGGTCTGGAGTTTCAGACCTAAGACTGATGTAGGGAGGCAGTCTCATGGGACTGAGCCCTTTACCTGTGGAATCGGATGCCATCTCCAGACAGTGTGTGAGAACTGAATGAGAGGACGCCCAGTTTGTGTCATCTGCAGAAATGATTGCCTGCTTGTTGGTGGGAAAAACCCTGTACACGTTTGATCACTGGAGCCTTCTTTGTTGCTGATTGTTGCTGTGAGGTGAGAGGAGAGAACAGGTCAAATGTGTCTTCTCCACACATACAGTGGATAAGGAGTACTACTGTACCCGCTGTTTGAACTGCCCGTCATGTTCTGGTCCAGAAATCATGCTCTTTGACACTGTTCTGCTAACAATACCGTTTTTAGTCAATCTTACAGGGTTTGGCTAGGATGACTTGTGTACTGCCGTTTACTTGCAGATGCCAAATTTTATAAAGTTATTCTTCTTTGTATTTAATAAATACAGAGTAAGGGAAGTAAGAGTTCTTACTGCATTAATTATCTACCAATAGGTATAATTAACATTAATTCTAATAAGGTCCCAGTTATTCTCCCAAAGGAATGCTTTATAACAAAGCATGAGTCCTATGTTTTTTTTAAAAAAAAGAAAGAAAGAAAGAAAAAGAAAGAAAGAAAGAAAGAAAAGAAAAGAAAAGAAAGAGAAAGAAAGAAAGAAAAAGAAAGAAAGAAAAAGAAAGAGAAAGAAAGAAAGAAAAAGAAAGAAAGAGAGAAAGAGAAGAAAACATGGTCTAAAGTCTGCACACAAGTATGCATAATTTTTTTTGTGAAGGTGGAGTCTTACTGTTTCCCAAGCTGGCCTCAAACTTCTGTGTGCCTCAAGTGATCTTCCTGCCTCAGCCTCCCAGGTAGTTGGGAATACAGGCATGCATCACTGTGCCTTCTTATGCTTTTAATATTCCATACAATTATTATTGATTTAAAATGCATTTTACCTTTTTCTTTAATAGATTCTGGGAGTTCTGATGAATCTGTAGTCAGGTGGGATTTTACGGATTTAAAAAATTATGTTAACTAAGGAAACATAGATGGAAGAGATTAATATCTGTTGAGTGTTGTATTCTGGGCTAAACCCCTATTATGTGCTATGCATGTATCACCCCATAAAGCCATTGCAACATCTGTGTTCTTATAACCTGCTGTTTATTACATAGGTAACTGTGGTTTAGAGGTTGATTAATTGGCTCATCCCGTAGTTCACAAAGTAGCTGACCCACAGTTAAACCATCAGCCCGCCTGGCTTCCAGATCCCTTCTCTTGATCCTCAGCATAGATTGATAGAGATCTGTGCAGCTCTGGGATCAAGGTATGTGTCAGAATCAGATTAACTTAGACAGTCAAATCTAGTTATATGTTAACTCTCATTTAAGGTTATTGTTAGAAATGTGGTTAGTTCAAGAGTTTCTCCTAATAAATTTGACAATTTCAGTGGTTGCCAACATCTTATTTTTACCATTACAGGCTTTAGGGCAAAGTAAAGGTTTGGCCATAGGATTATAAGTTTTATGAAAGCAAGATTAGGCAAGTCTTGGAAATTATTTGACTTCCCAGTTTGGTTTTCCCTTTAGGCTAGTATTTCTGCTTACTTCCATACTTATTTTTAGACTTTTTTTCTTTTTCCATGACATTTCTATAATCCTGTCTTGATGTTTTAAAACTTTTTCCTCTGCTTTTCTTGGTGTTTCTTTTGCTATATTATTTTTTCAAAATCTGCTGGCTATGTATTCCCAATTTTCCTATAGACAGTATCAAAAGCACATACAATTATAGAATTTTAAGGAATCATAGGACCAATTAAAATAGCCTCTAGTATTTCATCCTGTGTTAAGCATTCTGGTCAAGTGTTTCTCTAGAGAGAGAACATGAGACTCAAAGAGATTAGGATAGTTTTTTGTTTGTCTGTTTTTTACATAGGAAGTGGCAGAAATGAGATTTCAACTCATTTTAAAGCTAAGTACTTGTCCTTTTTTATCCTATTGGCATGTTTTTCTGTTTGTTTTTTCTTTTGTTTTTTGAGACAGAGTCTCGCTCTGTCTCCCAGGCTGGAGTGCAGTGGTGCAATCTGGGCTCAATGCAACCTCTGCCGCCTGAGTTCAAGCACTTCTCCTGCCTCAGCCTCCCAAGTAGCTGGGATTACAGGCACTTGCCACTACACCCGGGTAATATTTGTATTTTAAGTAGAGATGAGGTTTCAGCATCTTGGCCATGCTGGTCTTGAACTCCTGACCTCGATCCACTCGTTTCCCTCACCCAAAGTGCTAGGATTACAGGCATGAGCCACGACGCCAGGCCTGGCATGTGTTTTAATAATGCAAAGTGGGGCGGGGCACAGTGACTCACAACTGGAGGTCCTCATTTGCATGAGCTCAGTTTTTCCTAGCAGTCAATAGCAAAGCGAGCCCAGCTGTTCACCCTTCTCCTTAATGGCATCAAGCCCAGGGTTTGAGAGCCATGTTCATTGACCCCAGACGACCTGTTCATAGCTGTCTTCGTTGTGCCCTGTCTTCTTCCAGGCCTGTTCTCAGTGGTCCTCATCTAAACCAGCCAAGGTGTTCTCTGTCATCCACATGACAGCCAGCACAGGTGTCCATAGCCGTCCTCATCGAGGCCAATTTGTTCACACCCGTGCTTATTGGAGCCAGCCACCCTCATAGAGGCCATCTGTCGTATTGACAGCCATACTCACTAAAGCCAGCCCATGTGTCCATACCTGTCCTCCGTGGGCCTAGCTCAGGTGTTCATAGTTTTCTTCACTAGACTTAATCCAGGTGTTCCGAGCAAGTCCCATGGTCCCCGGCCAGGTGTTGACAGGTGTCCTCAATGGGGACAGCCCAGGTGTTCCCAGCTGTCTTAATTAGGCCAAATGCAGCTGCCCATAGCTGCCTCATTGGGCTCAGCCAGAAAGAACAAGGCTATCCTCCTGAGCCCACACCAGGTATGTATAGCTTTCCACACTGGGGTCAGCTCAGGTATTCATAGCCTGTGCTTTGGGCCCATCCTCGTTATTCCAAGCGGTTTCATTGGGCCCAATCCAGGTGTTCACAGACATTCTCATTGGTCTGGCACAGGTGTTCACAGCTATCCTCCTTGGCCTCAGGCCACATGTTCACACTCGATCTGACTGGGCCCAGACTAGGTCTGCAAAGCTATCTCAACCGGGAGCAGCCCATGCTTTCACAGTGGTCTTCACTGGTGCTGGCCGGGTTTCTCAAAGCTGTCACTTGGCTGAACCTTGGTGTACATAGCCATCCTCATGCAGCACAGCTCAGGTATCCGTAGCCGTCCTCACTGGGGCCAGCTCAGGTGTTCCCAGCCATCCTCATTAGTCTCAGCACAGGGGTTCACAGCTGTCCTTACTGGCTGAGCCCAGTTGTTCATCGCAGTCATTACATGAGCAAGACCGGGTATTCATGGCTGTTCTCATTAGGGGCGAGCCCAGGTGTTAGTAGCGCTCCTCATCTGGGCCAGCCCAGGCATTCACAGCCGTCCTCATCATGAGCAGTTTCCGTGTTCAAAGCTGACCTTCTGTGGCCGGCCTGGTTGCTCACTGCTGATTTTACTGGGCCCAGCCCAGGTTTCCCAGCTTCCCTCACTGGGGCTAGCGCAGGTGTTCACAGCTTTCCTCATTGGGCCCAGGCCACGGGTTCATAGCCGTCTCCATCAGAGAAAGCCAAGGTGTTCGCAGCCATCCTTTCCGGGTCCAGCCAAAGTCACACTCACTTGGGCCCAGGCCTGGTTTTAATAGTCATCCTCAGTGGGATTAGCCCAGTTGTTCACAGCGTCTTTCTCGGTGTGGGTTTAGGTGTCGAGAGCTATTCGTCTTGGGCCCAGCCAGCAGTTGACTGGCATCCTCATGGGGGCAGGCTCAGGCGCTCACAGTGGCTCTCACTGAAACCAGGACAGGTGTTTTTGGCTGTCTTCACTGGGCCCAGCCTGGACATTCGTAGCTGTGCTCAAGCCGACCAGCCATGGTGTTGACAGCCGTCTTCATGGCAATCATCCCCAGTGCCACAGCTGTCCTTACTGGCTTAGCCCAAGTGTTCTCAGCTTTGTCTTTGGGCCCCAGCCAGGTGTCCACAGCTGTCCTCGCAGACCTAGCCCAGGTTTTCATAGCCACCCTCACTGGGCCCAGCTCAGGGATTCATAGCTGTTGACTTTGGGCTGAGCCCAAACGCTGCAAGCTGTCCTTAGAGGGCCCAGGCAAGGTGTTCACAGCTGTTCTCAATGATAAGGTGTTTGTACTTGTCCTCGTTGGGCCAAGACCAGTGTTCACAGACACCCTCATTGGGCCAACACAGGAGCTCCATGCTGACCTCACTGGGCCCTGCCTAGCTCTTCACAGCTGTCCTCACTGGGCCCAGGCCAGGTGTTCACAGCCATCCCCGTCAAGGTCAGCCCAGGGGTTCACAGCCTTCCTCGCTTGTATGAACTCAGGTTTTTACAGCAACAGTTTTTTTATAGCTATTATTATCAAGCCATTCCCATGAGTTCAGGCCTCCCCTCATTGACATCAAGCCCAGGGTTAAGAGCCATTTTCATTGGCCCCAGGCCACCTGTTCATAGCTCTCTTCATTGTGTCCAGCCCAGGGCTTCCCAGCTGTCTTCATCCAGGCCTCACCAGTGTTCACAGTGGTCCTCATCTAAACTAGCCAAGGAGTTCTCTGTCATCCACATGACAGCCAGCCCAGATGTCCACAGCCATCCTCATTGAGGCCACCCAGTTCATTCACACGTGTGCCAACTGGTGCCGGCCACCCTCTTAGAGGCCATCTCAGGTATTGATAGCCATCCACACTGGGCCCAGCCCAGGTGTCCACATCTGTCCCCATTTGGCCTAAGCCTGGTGTTCATAGCTTTCCTCACAGGCCTTCTCCCAGTTGTTGCCAGAAGTTTCCATGGTCCCAGAGCTGGGTTTCACAGATGTCCTCAGTGGGAACAGCCCGTCTGTTCACTGTTGTCTTCATTAGGCCCGGTGCAGATGTTCACAGCCGTCCTCATTCGACTCAGCCAAAATGAACAGAACCGTCCTCCTGAGCGCACACCAGGTGTTTGTAGCTGTCCACACTGGGGTCAGCCCAGGTGTTCACAGCCATGCGTTCTGGGCCCATCCCGGTTATTCCAGGCTGTCCTCTTCGGCCGCAGGTGTTCACAGCCATCCTCATTCGTCCTGGCACAGGTATTCACAGCTACCCTCCTTGGCTCAGGCCAGATGTTCACATTCGATCTCACTGGACCCAGACCAGGTCTGCAAAGCTGTCTTAACCGGGAGCAGCCCATGCTTTCACAGCGGTCTTCACTGGTGCTGGCCGGGTTTCTCAAAGCTGTCACTTGGCCGAACATTGATGTACATAGCCATCCCCATGCAGCACAGCTCGGGTATCCATAGCCGTCTTCACTGGGGCCAGCTCAGGTGTTCCCAACCATCCTCATTGTCTCAGCACAGGGGTTCACAGGACACAGCCTGGGCCACCACAAGGGCTCTGCTGCCGCCTAGAAAGATCTGCCCCCAGGCCTCACTCACACTGCCATTAATGCGTCCGACCAGGCACACCCCACAGGTAGGCTTCAGCGAGAGGACCCAGGAGCTCCTCACCCTTAATAAAAAAGAGCGCTCAGCTTATTTAAAATGCATATCCAAGCTATAAGCATATTCGCAACGCCTTTATGTTTTTGTCTTCGTAAATCTTGCTTTCCTGAAAAAGGTTTTTTGCTTAGTCAAAGTTATTTTTTCCACTCTGTCTTGCCACTCTTGGTGCATGCATAAAAAAATCCTAGAATAGCTTCTGGTGGCCTGGGACTTCCTGGGAAAAATGAAAAGGTGCCACAAATCCCATTTTGGGAAAAACTCTGTTTTCTTTATGGAACCCCTGGAATTAAAGGTGAATAAGGACCTCCCAAAATCTGTCTTTATCTTCCAGCTATGCTTGTTTATTAGACCCTGAAAAGTGTTTTCCTAGACCCGTCCTTAAAAGGACCTCACCCAGAGGCCAATAATCCAATTCGAAATTAGCAAATGTAAATCTTATAAATAATACACCTTTTTCTGGTTGTCTGTGTGGCTATGTATGTGTTATGTGTGCAATGTCTATTAAAAAGAACTCTAATTATTAATCAGTTGACCTAAGAAAGATTAGGACTTAAATGAAATATTTTTCAAGGAAGTATTAATACTGTGTATGTTGCCATTTTACTTTATTCTTCGGTTGAAACAAAATTGTGGGGTTTTTATTGTGTGTGCGTGCTTTTGCTAAATGTCCTAGTTAGCTGTGCTGAGATATACCAGCAGTATTTATGGTTTAAGTTTTAATTCTTAGGTATTTTCTGCAGCTCTGACTTTAGTTTATGAAGACACACTAAACTGTATTGCACAGTTCACAATTTAATTACTTAAGGATCAATCTGAGCATTGTTCTTGGTCTTTAATAGCAAACACAGGACATGTGTATTATCACTACATTAATTTTCAAAGGCTTTTCTTTGACATTTAAAACCGTGACAACAGATGTTCACATTTGATGTGTATAGAAACTTAACAATGTATTTATTAATTTTATTACAAAATTTCATAAACCTTGTTTTTCAAAATAAATTTATATCAAATCCGGCTTCCCAGAAATGATAACAGTTAAGTATGTCAATGTAATAAATGTGTATGTCAGTGTATCTCAGGAGAAATGTGTTCTTGAAAATAGTGGAGACTTGGCACCCAAAATCATTTAAAAAATCTTACACAAAACCCTTGTGCCTTTCCACAAGAGTCTTCTAGGCTTTATTTGAGGGCAGTTGCCTCGAGCACTACTTCCTAATTGGTTTTCTAATGTCACCAAGTGAAGAAAAGACCTGTGCACACAGGACACAGCATGGTCTGACGCTCACTGTGTTTTCCTTTCTCTCTGCAGAGGGACTCAGCGATTCGGGCAAGCTGTGCGTACTCTGGGGTCATCGCTTTGCTAAGGAACATCTTAGGGTTGAGAAAGGTGACACTTTTCTCCCCGCATTTGCTGGAGACCCACCCTGGATTGAGCTTCTTCCTAGAAATGAGGTTTGGTCAGTTTGGTGTAAAAAAAAAACAAATGAAGAGTTGAGTCAACAACTGTGGCCATCCACTGTGGTTTCCAGAAGCAGTGATGTCATTTAAATAGGAATAGGGTGCATCGGGGTGGAGAGGTTTGGAGAAGAGAGTCCGTGTGGAGTGATGGTGAATGCCTTTGGGAGTGTGTGTGCATTTCTCTAGGAAGCATGTTCCCCTGTGCAAAGCACGACCCAAGGATCAATGTTCTAGAAACAACATTCCATCCCCACATCAGTCAACACTTCATCCTTCACCACAGCTGTACCAGAAGGTTAGTTTAACATCCCCCGTCCTCAGATTGGAGACGGTAGAGAGATGAATTTCCCAAGCTCTCAATTTCCTGAATGGAAAGGACAAATGTGAACTCAGGAAGGGGTGAAAGGTGGACGTGATGGGCTGCTGTTCCACAGTCCTCACGTGGTCCTGGTATAACCTGTCACCACACCAGGGAGTTCCAGCATCTGTGTGTGCATGTGGAGGCACAACAGCCTAGAGAGATCCCAACACTGCCCAGCACTGTAAGATGTCCTCAGTGATGGCGAAAGGCAGGGTAGAAACACAGTGGACTTTGGGGTGGTCCTTCATGTGAAACACACATAGGGGAGTCACAGGCTTTTGGCTGCAGTGGTGGTGTCATTTCTCAGCTGCTGTTCAAAAGGGGAGAATAATTAGGGATATGTCCTATTGTATTTAAAGATATGATTGGACCCAATGGGGAGGCTCATGCCTGTAATCCCAGCACTTTGGGAGGTTGAGGCAGGAGGATCACTTGAGCCCAAGAGTTTAAGATCAGCCTGGGCAACATAGTAAAACCACATCTCTACACAAAATACAAAAATTAGCCGGGCGTGGTGACGTGCTCCTGTAGTCCCAGTTTCTCAGGAGGCTGAGGTGGAAGGATTGCTTTAGCCTTGCAGGTTGAGGCTGCAGTGAGTCACGATTCTGCCACTGCATCCCATCTGGGTGACAGAGTGAGACCCTGTCACAAAAAAGCCAACCAAACCAAAACAAAAATCATGAGGACCACAAGCCTTAGAAATGCTCCAGCTTAGTGACACACACACCCAAGAGACAGCGCCCAGTATGATCTGAAAACACAACCTGAGTGTTAGCCTGGTGCCCCTCTTCCCTGGTGGAATCTCTAACATTGGGCTAGAGAGGATCAGTGCCCCACGTGCTGCCCCCATGACGCGCTGTCCCAGTGTCGGAGCCAGTGCGAGTGTGAGCAGCAATGGACTCCATGGAGACGCGCACAGGTTGTATGGAAAAGAGAACGGAAGGACAGATAGCATGTGCTAAATAAGGGTTATCTTTAAATGGGAAAAAAACTGAGTATTTTCAAAGCTTTGTTTCATTGTCCTAAAAACAAAGGGTTAGTGAATAAATATAAAATTTTGGTTAGAATTAAATCTTCTCTTTAAAGTTGCTTGTCAAGTAGAAAACCTCTAGGAGGGATGATAGTCACAGCAGCAGCACAGGTGGATTCCAGGGAGGAAATAATGTTGGAAGGACTCAGGAAGGGAGGGCAAGTGAGCTGGGGTCAGAGTAGGAAGCAGGAGTCCTGAGAAGCTGCAGGGACACAGCCTGGCCTGGGTGGTGTGCCCTGTTCAAGATGAGCTGTTTCACGTTGATGAGGTGACCTGGAGGTAGAAAGCCTTTCCTCCCTGCTCCCCTCCTGCACCTGCTGCCCTCCATCCACAGCCACGTCAACCAGTGGCTTGAATCGTTCTGCTCCCCTCCTGCACCTGCTGCCCTCCATCCACAGCCACGTCAACCAGTGGCTCGAATCGTTCTGCTCTTCTCCTGCACCTGCTGCCCTCCATCCACAGCCATGTCAACCAGTGGCTCGAATCGTTCTGCTCCCCTCCTGCACCTGCTGCCCTCCATCCACAGCCACGTCAACCAGTGGCTCGAATCGTTCTGCTCTTCTCCTGCACCTGCTGCCCTCCATCCACAGCCACATCAACCAGTGGCTCGAATCGTTCTGCTCCCCTCCTGCACCTGCTGCCCTCCATCCACAGCCACGTCAACCGGTGGCTCCAATTGTTCTGCTCCCCTCCTGCTCCTGCTGCCCTCCATCCACAGCCACGTCAACCAGTGGCTTGAATCGTTCTGCTCCCCTCCTGCACCTGCTGCCCTCCATCCACAGCCACGTCAACCAGTGGCTCGAATCGTTCTGCTCTTCTCCTGCACCTGCTGCCCTCCATCCACAGCCATGTCAACCAGTGGCTCGAATCGTTCTGCTCCCCTCCTGCACCTGCTGCCCTCCATCCACAGCCACGTCAACCAGTGGCTCGAATCGTTCTGCTCTTCTCCTGCACCTGCTGCCCTCCATCCACAGCCACATCAACCAGTGGCTCGAATTGTTCTGCTCCCCTCCTGCACCTGCTGCCCTCCATCCACAGCCACGTCAACCGGTGGCTCCAATTGTTCTGCTCCCCTCCTGCACCTGCTGCCCTCCATCCACAGCCACGTCAACCAGTGGCTCGAATCGTTCTGCTCCTCTCCTGCACCTGCTGCCCTCCATCCACAGCCACGTCAACCAGTGGCTCGAATCGTTCTGCTCCCCTCCTGCACCTGCTGCCCTCCATCCACAGCCACGTCAACCAGTGGCTCGAATCGTTCTGCTCCCCTCCTGCACCTGCTGCCCTCCATCCACAGCCACGTCAACCAGTGGCTCGAATCGTTCTGCTCCCCTCCTGCACCTGCTGCCCTCCATCCACAGCCACATCAACCAGTGGCTCGAATCATTGATGAGCAATGCCGCCAAGGTGCTGACAGCCACTCTGTGTCCTCCTGGTTCCCACTGAGGATCCCCTGGAAGGCCTCACCAATGAGCTCAGATGAGACTGCCCATGGCATTTGAAGGTCAAGCTACCTGGTTTCATCTGAAAGTTACTTTCTTAGCTTTATCTTACTGAATTAAAACAACATATGATCGTATGTATCATAGGTGACTTAAATGGGGAGTGTCCTTGGTGGGGGGAATTCTGAGTGAGTCCGTCCCCCACTGAGGCTTGATTTAAGGCAGCAAGAGAAAATGACAGCATCAGCCACGCCCTGAGTGGCAGTGAGCTTTTCCCTTAGTAGCTTTTCTCCTTGGGGCAAAATCACTTAATTGCCAAGCAACATGACCTTGAGAGGAAACATCCTCCAGGAGAAACTTCAGCATGAGTCGGTTTGTCCTGTTCTTCTGTGTTCCTTTGAACACTGTTTCCCATCTGGTTTTCTAATGTCACCAAGTGAAGAAAAGACCTGTGCACACAGGACGCAGGATGGTCTGAAGCTCACAGTTTCTTTCTCTAAATGCAGGCTGACAAACGCGCCAAAGAAAAAGGTGTGTATTCTGGAAGCACTCTTTTCTAAGGAAAGATCTTCAGGGTTGCAAAAGGTGGCACTTCCTAGTCTGCTTTTGCTGGAGAGCCACTTTGGTTTTGAGCTCCCTGACAGAAATGAGGTTTGGACAGTTTGGTGTTAAAAACGCTGAGTCCAGTAAAGAACTGTGACCGTCCACTCGAGTCCGGGGAGGCAGGATTGTCATGTAGATGGAACAGTGTGGTGTGCATCAGGGTGGGGAGGTACGGAGGAGAGAGTTGTGTGGAGCGATTGGGAACATCTTGGGAGTGTGTGGGCGTTTCCCCAGAAAGCATGTTCCCCTGTGCAGAGCACAACCCAAGGAGCACTTTTCCTAAAAAATTGTATCACCACTGCACACTTCACATAAATTAACGCATCATCCTCTCACACAGCTGTACCTGAAGGTAAATTTTATATCCTCATCCTCAGATAGAGACGGTGCAGAGATGAATTTCCCAGGCTCTCGATCTCCTAAATGGAAGAGGCGAATGTGAACTCAGGAATGGATGGAGGGTTGATGCAATGGGCTACTGTTGTGCACTCACCAGCCAGCCCTGGTATAACTTGTCATGCCAGGGAATTCCGGCATCTGTCTGTGTGTGGAAGGATGAGAGCCTAGACAGGCCCCAAACACTGTCGGTGTAGGGAGGTCTCAAAGGTTCCCTAACCCAGGGTAGGAATAGTTACATTTTCCAATGGACTTTGGTGTGATCATTAATGTGAAACACACAGAGGGTTCACAGGCTTTCGGCAGCAGTGGTGGGGTCATTTCTCAGTTCGTGGTCAAAAGCAGAGAATAATCAGGGACATGCTCTATTGTGTTTAATAACAGGATCATCACAAGCCTCAGAAATGCTCCAGTTGGCCAGGTGGGTGGCTCACGGCTATAAACCTAGCACTTCAGGAGGCTGAGGCAAGAGGATGGCTTGAGTCCAGGAGGTGGAGGTCAGCCTAGGCAACGTGGCAAAAACCCATATCTACTAAAAATAATCAGCTGTGTGTGGTGGTGCACCTATAGTCCCAGCTACCTCGGAGGTTGAGTGGGGAGGATCACTTGAGCCCAGAAGGCGCAGGTTCCAGTGAGCAGAGATCAAGTTACTACCGTCCAGCTTGGGTGACAGAGACCGTCTATCAAAAAAATAATAATAAAGAGGAAAAATAAATGCTTTAGTTGAGGAGTAAACACAGTGAAGACCCAGCACCGAATATGGTCTCAAGGAACAACTTGGGTGTTAGCCTACCACCCATCTCCCCGCACGGCTGGGTTGGGGAGGGTCCGCACCCCCACCTGCTGTCCCATGATGGACTGTCCCAGCGTCAGAGCCCCTGTGCGTGTGAGCAGCAACGGACTCCCGACCCACACACACACATTGCATTGAGAAGGCTGAGTGCCAGGACAGATAGCAGTTGTTAAGTAGGAGTTATCTTTAAAAGAAAGAATAACTTACTATTTTCAAAGCTTTGTTTTATTGTCTTTAAAACAAAAGATTAGTGAATATATAGAATATTTTGGCTAGAATGAAATATTCTTCCTAGACAAAGGTTTCTTTTTACCAAGTATAAAATATTCTAGATGACAGATACACACAGAAGGTGAATTCTAGGAAGGAAATGACCTTGGAAGGACGCAGGAAGGGAGGGCAAGTGAGCTTGGGTCCGATCAGGAGGCAGGAGCCCTGAGAGGCTGCAGGGACGCCCAGCCTGCCCTGGGTGCTGTGCCCTGTTCAAGATGGGCTAGTTCACTTGCTGAGGCGACCTGGGGCTAGAAAGCTGTTCTTCCTGCTCCTCCCTTGCACCTGCTGATGGTCATACTTTGTCTTCCTAGATTCCACCGAGGACCCAATGGAGGAACACCTCAGGGAGAAGAAAAAGGAGGCCCCATGGAAAGTGAAGGTCAGACCCCCTGCATTTGAGGAATACGGTTGCTTTCCTAGCTTTATCTTTCTGAATGAGCCTAAGAGATGAGAATCTGACAGTATGTATTATAGACGACCTATACAGTTGTCCTTGGTCAGGGGAATTCTGAGTGAGAGCCTGTTCCCCAGTGAGGCTTGATTTTAAATAGCAGGATAAAATGACAGCATCAGCCACACACTGTGTGGCAGTGAGCTTTTCCCTTAGCAGCTTGATTCTCTCCTTGGAACAAAATTACTTAGGTTGCCAAGCCACATGGACTTGGAGGAAACATACTCCAAGGAAACTGTGTCTGTAGCATGAGTCGGTTTGTCCTGTTCTTTTGTGTTCCTTGGACTTGAGCACTGTTTCCCATCTGGTTTTCTAATGTCACCAAGTGAAGAAAAGGCCTGTGCACACAGCACACAGCCTGGTCTGGCGCTCACAGCAATATGTTTTCTGTGATTACAGGAGGCCTGGAGAGAGCAGGAGAGTGGTACGTATGGGGGAATCCCTCCCATGTGAATGAAGAATCCAGGTGATGAGGAATGTGTCACCGTCTCGCTGGCTTTCCTGTAGACATGCAGCCGGAGTGGAGCTTCCTGTTGTGACTGAGGACCTGGGCTGTGGTGGTGAAGTGGTTGCTCCAGGTAAGGAGAGACGGGCACATTCTGCAGTCCCTGGGAGCCGCCGCGTTCTCTCTATGTGGGGTGGAGTTGTGTGCATGGGGCTGGTGTGTGTTGGCCGAGGTTGATCTATCCCAGAATCCTATTTAACTGGAGGGAGCCTCACAGCTCCTGGCCAGGGCAGCTGCTTCACACTAGTTGCAGCAGAAGTGGGAGGGGAGCCAGTTCCAGTGCGGGATGAGCTAAGCAAAGGGAGGGGCTGCCCCAGAGGCCAGGTGTTCCTTGCAAATCTCCCTTGTGACCCACAAGACATCACTTTGCTTGTTTTTCTGAGATAGGCTTGGAATCATCAGTTCCAAAGTCTGTGTTCTTCACCCATGGGGGGAAGGATTCTGGCCATGGCTGGTCACTGTGAGAGCAGAGGTCGTGTCCTCCTTGTTCCTTCCCATCCCAGAGCTCAGCCCCGGGCAGCCCATCTTAGGGCCCCAGTGATGTTCTGATGCACACAGCCGAGCACTGAGATAGACCACGAGTGTGAAAAGGCTTCCTGCTCACCCTCTGCAGTCTGCTGAGCCCCACACATTTCCAGGTTCCTGTGTGGATTCTGATTCAGAGTCAGGGGGAAGTGCCTGGGCTCCCCTCTCTGTCTGCTGTTGTGGTCCTGTCTGCTCCTGGATCGTGAAATTAAGGATTAAAATAGTAAATATTGTGTATAGCTCACCATATTTTAAAGTCCATTAAAATAACTCCAGTAGGAGCATAGGTATTTTTAGGAAGGTTAAATGACATAGTAACATTTTTATGAAAAAGAGGATATTTACCGGGCTTCTTTCTGTGAGGAGACCCTGTCCCGGAGTGATGTCCTGCATTTGTGTGCTGCCTGTGTGAACACACTGCCAGGTCTTCACAGTGATGAGGGTGGCTTAGCCAGAGACCCGAGGCTGTGTCTCCCAGGGCTCTCCTGATGGTCTCCTCTGCCTCCTTCACCACCAGGAAGGGTGGCCCAGCAGCAGCTTGGCTCGTGCTCTCACCCACCTCCTCCACACACGCCAGCCCTGTGTGCCCGGCACCCAAGACTGCCAGAGGTCCTTCAGCAGCTCCCATGGCTGACAGTGACTCTATGTTTCCTAGCGACGGTGGCCAGTGAGATGTTTCCAGAAATGACCCTAGCTCTTTGCCAGGTAAAGTCTTCTTTCTTTCTTTGAGAGGAGAATTTTATTTCTCTTGGTTTGTTTCCATTTTATTTGCATTATGATATGCAAATCTCACCATGGCAATTATAGATGAATTGCAGAATTTCTTGGTGGGCAAATGTAAGTAAGAGTCCATTACCAACTAAGCCCTGATTCAAGATGGCACCCATAGGTGACAGCTTCAGGGACAGACTGCGTGGCAGAGAGCATTTTCCTCATGAGAAATGCTGGCTTTTAAAAAGAATGTAGAATTTGCAACCAAAAGACGTTGGTCTAGATAGAAGCAGCTGGACCCCACAGCGTGGCACGTGTTCGTTTAAACATTCTACGGTGACCTGCCACGGAGGTCGTCTGAAGATGGAGCCCTTGTCTACGGCCGTAGCACCCTGAGTGCACCCGCTGTCATCTCATGATGAAGGTCCTGCCTCCGTCCCAGCTGCCACTCTGTGAACTGCCGTTTCACACTGTGCAGAGCCAGGAGACCAGTGATCACGATGGGAGGCGACCTTTGCTGCTGTTCTCAAGATGTGCTCATTTCCCTCTTCTCACTGCAGTTTCTTCAGATCAGCCACTTGTACTTAAAATGTCTCCCTGATTTTTTTTTGTTTCCCCAACTCCAGCTTGTCTATAGATGTACAAATTTTAGAGTTTTACGACTCAATTTGTATTCTTGATTTTTCTATCAAGATTTTTGCCTTAAACATTTTCCTCTATTTAGAAAAATGTCCCATTTCCCATGCCAATTTTATGCAGGCTTTTCACTAGAATAGATCCAGAAGGAACACAGCAACACTGCCTTCACCAGATCCGGAGAATCTTGATACCAAGTGCGGTATGAGACAGCCCATGAGAGGGAGATTACAGGCCAGTCTTCTGAATAGAGACATCCAAAGCTGAAACCAAATATTACAGCAGGCTAAATGCAGAGACTGCTAAAACAATAATGAGTTATTTCATGATTTGAAACAATTTTGCCTAGTTTAAAGGTTTTGGGGATTGTTTTAAAGAAAATTTTAAAAGATAAATACAACTGAATGAATGTAAACAGTTATAAAATAGAAAACGTTATGCGGTGATAAAAGGCTTATGAAACATGTTTTGTAACCTCATAATTTCTAATCCCAATCAAAGCTGGGATAGATTTGTTTATAAGGTCTTATTAAAATTAGCTACAGTATTAAACATAACGCTAATATCAAACTAGAATTTTGGTTGAAAAGCTGTTCTTAAGATATGAATTTGTTCTCAATGAGAATACAAGAGGTAACCATTTTTCATTCTGAAATGTATTTCTTTTTAAAACTTCTCAGACTGATGCCTCAGAAGTTCGACTTGTACCGTGTCTCTTTATGTGTAATTTACAGGTCCCACATCATCGCCTTCTGTTTCTTTTTTCCTGGAAAAGTTGTATCTTTCTATTTGGCTGGGATGAGAACTCTCACTTTTCTTTCTTTCTTTTTTTTTTTGTTTGTTCATTTGTTTTTGGAGACGGGGTCGCCCTCTGTCGCCCAGGCTGGAGTGCAGTGGCACAGTCTCGGCTCACTGCAACCTCCACCTCCTTCAAATTTTCATCAGCTCCGTTACCTTCCCCCAGGTTCTAATTCTATCACTGTAACACCAACACGCTTGCCTTCAAGGTCTAAAAAGCCGACATTGGTCTCAGCTGTCACGTGGTTTTGTGCTCTTGGCTTTCGGTCTATCTGGGTTGTCTCCTGTGAGCAGGTGAGGGAACTCGCTTTCCTGCTCACAGCACCTGCTCATGGCCTGGGGCGCACCTTACCTGTGTCTCATTAACCTCGAGGGCCTGCTCACCAGGGTGGCTTCCAGGCCATTCAGTGCCCTTCGTCGAGGCGCTGCCCACTCTCAGGTAGCTGCTCAGGTCAGCCGTCAGCAAGATGGGTGGGTCACAGACTTAGTTCATCAAACCACTGATGCACCAGCCCCAGTGGCCACGTTTTCAGTTAACTTCCATTAACTGCTCGTGCAGGGTTGGTCAGTTGAAGGAAAGTTTTTTCTGGCACAGCCGTTAAGTGGCAGTTGGCTCGGAACGTCCTGAGTCCTGAGCCAGCTTGGGGGCCAAGCCGACCCCTGGTCCCTTGGGGTGGTCACTGGTCACATGCTCACCACAAAGCAAGGCCAGGGGCCAGAGGTTTCTGTTTGAATGATCTGAGCTCTTCTCTGGACTCAGCCACCTCCTGCCTCAGCCTCCAGAGTAGCTGGGACTGCAGGCACCCGCCACCGTTGTCAGGCTAATTTTTGTATTTTTAGTAGAGATAGGGTTTCACCATGTTGGCGAGGCAGGTCTTGAACTCCTGAACGCCTCACCTCCTGATCCACCTGCCTTGGCCTCCCAAATGATGGGATTACAAGCGTGAGCCACCATGCCTGGCCTTTTTTTTTTTTTTTTTTTTTTCCTACACTATTTCATAGACCAGATACAGAAGAAACCACTGAAAACCCAACTGGGGTGCCACATTTTCAGTTCATTCCCATTAACTGCTTGTTCAGGATGGTTCAGTTGAAGGGAATTTTATTCTTGGCACAGCCATCGAGTGGTAGTTAGTCTGGAATGTCCTAAGTTCCGAACTACCCTGGGGGCCAAGCAGAACGTGGTCCCTTGGTGTGGTCAGTTGGTCATGGAGGGCTGCTCACTGCCAGAGAGCTGACAATACAGGGTGCTGGGTAGGATGACCAGACATTTGCATTTGTTCCTCAGAGAGGCTTCGTTTGCAGGAAAGCGCCATATTTTAGCCCAGGAGTTAAAACCTAGAGACAGGAGTTATGTTTTGTTTAATGATTTGAGCTTTTTTCTGGACTCAGCACCTCTTCCAATACCTCGACCTTCCTGAAGAGCCCTTGGTGCAGGAGGATTGAGAAAGGGAGTGGAATGAGCTCCAGGTTCAGGGTCCAGGCCATGATTTAGAGGCCTCAGGTGTTCAGGGATCTCTGTCCCCGGAAAATCAACCGAATTCTTGTCCCAGATCTATCATTGGTCAGTGCTGTGAATCTGGGCAGGCCGCTCAAATCTCTTCATTTCACTTCCCTGAACCGTCAACTCTGAGTGGCAGCCCCTGCTCTGCTCATCTCTCTGGACTGATGTGGGCACCACGGGAAATTCGGACAGAAATTTTCATGAGTTCTAAAGCATGGGACCCATGTCAAGAATGAAGAGAATTTTACCCTCCACTGCCCTGGAGTCCCCAATTCCTTCTCTATTAACCACTACCAAGGCCTGGGTTCTTCTTCCAGACATGAAATAATTGAACACTTTATGGCACTTAGGAAGCACCTGTCTTAAGGCTTTAAGTGGTCTGTTTAACTATTTTTACTCTTTTAACATAACGTAGGCCATTATCAACATTTCCACATTCAGACTAGGGATCGGAGGCCCAGAGGGGTCTACAGAACTTCCTCAGGTTCTAGCAGCTTTTCAAAAGTCCTTGAGCTCAGATCCTATGCACCAGACCCTACGCTCTTGGTCACTCCAATCTACTACCTTTCTGTAATGTCTCATCTCAATACAGGCATTTGCCTGCACAGTTGTAAGTGCAACCCACAGTGTAAGTCCTTTCTGAAGCCAAACTCGGATTCAGGGGGCTTTGCTCTGCAGATGACGAACAATGGGATCAAACATGTAAGCTGTGAATACATAATGACTCATTTATCTGATCTTCTGCAGCAAGATATCAACAGCTGTCTTTATTTTAATTCATTTTCCAGCGTGTTCCATCCAGGATGAAGTAGTGGATCCTGAGGTGCCCAGGAAATCCCCCGTCAGACACCACCATAGGCATAAGAAGCGAATTCTCCATCACTGGCATCACAACCGTGTACACCCTAGAGTTACATCAACGGAAGGTATCGTGGAAATTCAGTTGTTCAGTTCATTCATGATATGATTTCTAGATTCTTCAGTGTCTCATATTTCAGACAATTGTAAAATTGTGATACTATATTCTTTATTCCACATGTGCGTATTTAAATGTGTTAAGTCAATCATTAGTGCTACAACTACAGGAGTAAAGGTGTATTTCCATTCCAGGTTTGGGTTTACTTTTAATAGTAAATAACATCTCAGTGCAAATTGTAGACATTTTGCTGATTGCTAAATATTAACTAAAAAGGATCTTTTCCTGAGACAGTGTTGCCAGGTTTGCAAAGTGATGGACATCACTTCAAACTGTATGGAAATAACCTAAAAATGGAGGAAGTGGTATCGAAAATTTCCGTATACCCACCTTCCTCAGTTTTTTTTTTGTGATCCCATCTTATGTGAGTGTGATAACGCTTGTAACAATGACTGAGCCAATAGTGACACATTCTTATGCACAGAAGTCCAGGGTTAGCATCAATGGCTGAGCCAATAGTGACACATTCTTATGAACAGAAGTCCAGGGTTAGCATCAAGGTTCACTCCGTGTCGTCCAGTCTGGGTTTTGACAAACTCACAATGTCCTTTGTCACCCTGACGGAATAATTTCACGCCCTAAACATGACCTGAGCTGCACCTACTAATTCCTCTCCTTTTCTGAGGATTCCTGACAACCATAGATTATTTTACTGCCTCTATAGGTTTCCTTTCCAGAATTTGGAATCATAGACTACTACTGACTACTACTTCTGACTAACTCATTTTACGTAGCAATATACATGTAAGATCTTTTGTATCATTTTGAAGCTTAACAGCTTAGTAATTCTTAGCAATGAACAATAGCCCATTGGTGTCATCAAACAGTGTTAGCTGGTTCTGTCACCTCCTGAAGACCATCTCAGCTGCTTCCAGTGTGGGCAATTATGAATAAAGCTGCCTACATTCTTGTGCAGATTTTAAGATGAACATGATTTTTAAATTTAGCTGGGTAAATATGTAGAATTTTGATCATTTACTGGTAAGACTATGTTTTCCGTTGTGTTAGGTAGAATTCACCAGTACAATTATGTGGGCATTTTTTTAAAGTTTTACTTACTGATCAAATTCTATAACAACCGAGGCCTACTCAGATTGTCTATCTCTCCTTTGGGTGGTTATGGTAGTTTCTCTTTTTGAAGGCATTTGTCCATTTCATCTAAGCTAGGAAATTTGTGGCATAGACACTTGAATCTCACCAGTTGCCTACTTGGTTCTCTTCCAAGGGTACTGTGCTTCCTGTCATTCCTACTCTAAAACTTTTAATATACTTTCACTGCTGCACTTAAAAATTGCAGGCATAGATTGGTTGAAAGTATTCTGTGTTATTTTCTTAATGTTCATGGGATCAGCAGGATAATTCCTCTTCTGTTCATATTATTTGTACATCGTGTCTTCTATCTTTTCTTTGTGATTAGCCTGGCTGGAGGTTTACCAATTCTGTTGATCTTTTCTAAGAGGCAGCTTTTGGTTTTGTTGAGCTTCTTTGTTTATTTTATTATTTCTATTATATGATTTCTGCAAATATTGTTAATTTGGGGAAGGGGTTGCCTTGTTTACATTACACTACACCTTTTTCTCTAGTTTCCTAAGGTGGAAAGTAAGACATCCGGGTTTGGATTACGTTTAGTTTACTGCACAGAATTGTGAATGCACTGATGTCCCTGAAGTGTGTACTTGATTATTATAATAATAATATGATGTATTTTGGCCACAATATTGATTTTAAAGCCAATAAAATGGATAAGTGCAGGAGGAGCATATGTAGATCCAGGAAGATAAATGACATTATAACATTTCAACAACAAAAGGAAATTACCGGGGCCTCAAAATGCACAAGGGGGTGATGGGACACTGTCATGGAATCAGCAGTGCATCTGTGTGCTGCCCTGTGAACACTGCCGTTCACAGTGGTGAGGTGCTTAGCCAGAGAACCAGGCCCTGACTTCTGTGGCTTTACTGATGGTCTAATTTGCCTTCCCTCATCACCAAGGAGGGTGTCCCAGTGGCAGGCAAGTTTCTGCCCTTAACCCACCTCCTTTACACACGCCATCCCCCTGTCCCCAGCACCCAAGGCTGCCTAAGGGATTCCTTCTGTGGAACCAACATGCTGACAGTTACTCTGTGTTCCTAGATCAGGATGAGGACCTAGTGCTGGAGCCTTCATCTGAGATGTCCCAGGCATTTACATGGTAAGTCTTCTTTATGTTTCTAAGACGGAAATGTTGTTGCTCTTGGTTCTTTTTATTTGATTTGAATTGAGATATAAAATCTTATCATGTACATTATAGATGACTTACAGAATTTTTGGTGAGAAAACGTGAGGGTTCATTACCCGGTAAGAAATGATCTCAGATGCATTCTTAGATGACACCTTCGGTTACTAACTGTATGGCAGAAAGAATTTTTTTAGGGGAAAAGCTTTCTTTATAACATTGTGACTATACAATCAAAACAGTCTTGGAAGTCTTGCATAAAAACCGTGTGCCTTTCCAGAAAGGTCTTCCAGGCTTTATTTTGGGACCGTTGCCTCAACCGCTGCCTCCCACATGCTTTTCAACGTCACCAAGTAAAGAAAAGATTTGTATGGTGAAACCCCACCTCTACTAAAAATACAAAAATTAGCCGGCGTGCTGACCGGCTACTGTGATCTCAGCTACTGGGGAGCAGCGGGAGCAGGATCGCTTGAGCCCAAGAGGCAGATGTTGCAGTGAGTCAAGATCATGACATTGTACTCCAGCCTGGGTGGCAGAGCGAGATTCCAGCAAAGAGAGACAGAGAAAAGAAAAACCTGTGCACACAGGACACAGCATGGTCTGACCTTACCGTGTTTTGTTTTTCTCTAAATACAGGTGGACAAAGCCACAGTGACAAACAGTACCTATTCTGGATCACCCCTATGCTGAGGAAAATTCTAGTGTTGACAAAGATGGCACTTTCTTGCCTCATTTTTTGGAGAGCCACTCTGGTTTGAACTTCCTGCCAGAAACGAGGTTCAAGCACTTTTGTCCACATGTCAGGCTGTCCCCGTGCTGGAGTCAGTGTGAGCATGAGGAGCAGTGCGCTCCGTGGTGCACACACATCGTGTTGAAAAGGAAGAGTGGAAGGACAAATACCAGATGCTAAGTAGGGGTCATCGTTAAATGGTAGGATGATTGAGTATTTTCAAATTTTGGTTTAATTGCCTTATAACAAAAAGTTAATGAAATCTTTTGGCTAGAATTAAATCTCCTACTTAAGAAAAGTTGCTTCTTCAGTACAAAATCTTCTAGAAGGGATGACATACAGAGCAGCAGCACATGTGGATTCTGAGGAGGAAATGACTTTGGCAGGGATCAATAAGAGGGCAAGTTAGCTCAGGTCAGATTAGGAAGGAGAAGCCCTAAGAGGCTGCCAGGAACACACAGCCTGAACTGGAGGAAGGGCCCTGTTTGAGATTGGATATTTCATGTTTATGAGGGGGCCTGGAGCTAGAAAGCCAAGGGCCCTGATTCCCTTTCTTCCCTGCTTCTCTCCTGTGCCTGCTACCCTCCTCCCACACCTGCCTCAAGCAATGTTACCGAATTGTTCATGAGCAACACCATCAAGGTGCTGCCGGTCACTTAAGATATGAGAATCTGACAATACATATCTTAGTTACACAACGTCCTTGCGGAGAATTATAAGTGAGAGTCTGTCCCCGCTGAGGCTTGATTTAAGACTGGGAGGAAATGACAGCATCAGTCACACATTGTGTGGCAGTGAGCCTTTGCCTTACCAATTTTGTTCTCTCTTTGGAGCAAAATCAGTTACTTGCCAACCGACATAGACTTGAGAGGAAACATCCTCCGAGAAAAATGTGTCTTTAGTATGAGTCGATTTCTTCTGTTCTTCTTTTGGGTTCCTTTGAACACCGGTTTCCATCTTGTTTTCTAATGTCACTAAGTGAAGAAAAGTCCTGTGCACACAGGACACAGCAGGGTCTGATGCTCATAGCAATTTATTTTCTGTCATTACAGAAATCGTTGGGAGTTCCACCGGAGGGTACGTATTGCGGAGCCACTCTCACACTGATGAGTCACCCAGATGATGAGGAATGTGCCACTGCCTCGCTGGCCTTCCCGTAGACAGGCAGCCGGAGCTGAGCTTCCTCTCATGAATGAGACCTAGGCTGTGATGGGAGAAATGCTTGTTCCACATAGAGCCTGATGGTCACATTCTGCGGTCCCTGGGAGCAACTGCATTCTCTGAGGATAGGGTGAAGTTGTGCACATTCAGTTGCTGCGTGTCTTTTTGAATTCATGTGGTGTAACTTTTGAGTGTCCAAAATACATAATGTCAAGGTCATGTAGAGGCTCAGCCTCTATCATGCAGCCTCCTCCTGGTTTCCGTGTTCTGTGCTCAGGAACACAGCATCATGAAAAGGTAACCAAAGGGCTTGCCCTAGGCTGTGAGTGGCAGGGGGAGCACTTGCCTTCCTAGGAGGATGGAGGGTGACTCATGCATTACGAGGTGGGGAGAGACAAATGTGGCTGTGGGACAGCAGAGGCTCCAGGACGTCCCATTGAACCCACCGTGGACAAAGGTTTTGTTTGCTCCTGAAGGCCTTTGCAAAAAACAAGTCAAGGTGGTTGGCTTAAGGTCATATGAAAATAAAATTAACCCAGTTCTGGACTGAGTTTCTTTTGGGAGCCTGCCTTTGGTGGAAATACGTTGTATGTGGTTGAATTTGATTGCTCTGTAGGTGTCCATACTTAACCCACATTTGAAAACAATGAGGCTGGTGTGATTTTAAAATGTCCCTCGTTAACCTCAGAAACTATCTCCTCATAACCCAATTCCCCTGGTCATCTCTAATCTTTAGAATACAGTTTTTTTGTGTGTGGTATTCGGGGCCTTCTGCTGTGTGTGATCAAAGGCACAAATCAGCGTTACCAACACTGAGGTTCTAAGAATTCCCAGACAGCTGCCCAGTGGGCTCTGTGAGAGAGAGCAGGTACAGCCTTGGCCTGGGCCTGAAAAGGAACAGGATTTGGAGAAGCAGAAGGAAGGCATGAGGGCAGCAGAGCCACGGGGGCAGCCGAGGTGCAACATCAGGAAGTCAGTTCTTCATCACCTGGGCGTGGCCGGGATGTTCATATTCCAGCTGAGGGAGAATGGGTCGAGCTCCGACTTCATAGCCGGCGTTAGCACTGTCTGCCCGTCTTCCCGAGAGCCTGAAGAGAGAAGCTACTTTGTTGTTTCTTGTCTTCTCTATTTCCCGTATGTCGATGGCAGTGGCACCACCAGAAATTAATGAGAGGCAGAGAACAGGAGTGAGTTCCCGAAATAGCCAATGTGGTCCAGAGAGGACATGATCGGCAGGGATGGACTTCAGGGTCAGGCCGGACACAGAGTAGTTCCCAGGCCTGGTCTCTCTGGCTGGGACAGAGATCAGCTCTTACTTTTCACCTGCTTCTGGGCGTGGCCTGACAGCTGGTCCTCGTGTAGTTGCTGTTAGCCAAGTGTGATTTGGCCCAGAATCCTGCGTGACTGAAGGGAGTGTCAGCTTTCAGGCAGGATGGCTGCCCCACACTAGTTGCAGGGAAGGTGAGAAGGGACCCTGTTTCAGTGCAAGGTGAGCTCAGCAAAGGGAGCGGGGCTGCTCCTGAGTCCAGGTGGTCCTTGCACCTCTCGCGTGTGACCCATGAGACATCACTTCGCCTGTTTCTCTGAGATAGTCTTGGAAGTATTAGTCTCAAACTCTGTTTTGTTTTACTTATGTGTTGATGAATCCTGGCTGGGGCTGGTCACTGGGAGGGCAAAGATTATGTCCCCCTCGTTCCTTCTCATCCCAAAGCTCGGCCCTAGGCAGCCCATCTTGGGCCCCAGTAATGTTCCAGTGCTTCCAACCCCTTTGCTGAGATCCAGCACCAGTGTGAAAAGGCTTCCTGCTCATCTTCTTCAATCTATTGTTTCTCATGGTAGTCTAGAAACCTGAGTGGGTTCTGATCCAAGGTCACAGGAGAATAGGGGGGCTCCTGAAGTCACTGAAGTTTCCCCTCATCTCTACTCTGGCTGCCTTGGTTCAGCTTTTCTCCTGCAGAAGATGCTTTCTTTCTGTTTACAAGTCCTCCTCTGCTGGACCAGGCGTTTTTATTCTTGTTGTGGCATCCCTGCACTTCACAGGGGACCTGGAGCTTGTTCCTGTGCCCCTCAAGTACCCATCCATGAATGATCAGATCAGAGCAAACCACTCTGCCAGGAATCAGCAGGGGGGAGAGTCACATCTCCCTCACCTTTGGGTTTAGACCTGTGCATTCCAGTGTGGTCCTCCGTGGCGTATGTGCCCATTCATGTTTAAATAAATGAAAAATTCATAACCTCCTCACAAGAGCCATACTATAAGTTCCCAGTTGCCAAATGTCTACTCTTAAGAGAGCATCTCCATTTTCCCTGAATCACCTGGGAAGCAGCTGCTGTGAGTCTGGCCCAGATTCTGTTCACTGCACTCACCTGACTCAGTGCATGTGCATCAAGGCTGGAATCTCGGGTTCTCAGATTGGAGGTAAGAGATGCTCTGAGCCAGTGTCGGTGAACAGTTGAAAGGATTGTTCGGGTTCTCTGTCTCACCTGAAGGCTCACAACTGTGAGCAGGGCCTTCCTAACGGCCCCTGAGTTCACAGAGCCCAGGGAGAATCACCGTGGACTGAGCAGTAGTGCCGACGTTTGTGACTCTGTACTTGGGCTCATGGGCACCACCTCTGGATCCATCCAGGGGAAATAGACTGGTCAGGTAGGGACCGACACTCCAGGGTTGACCAGTGAGGAGGGTTCTTGGGATTGGGTGACACTTGTTTTGGAGCCTGGGATGGATCAGTGAAGTGACTAAATATGAAAGGAAATAGGTGTAGAAGTCTGACTTGGGATTTTTTGTATCTTCATGAGAAAGTCGTAAGAGTTTTGTCCTCATGCGCTTTGTGCGAGTTGTGTTTGTCACCATCCTTTCCTGCCCTGGTGTTTAAAGATTACATTTTGCAAAGACCAGATCATTCCTGCCTTTGCCACAGCAAGCACCAGAGCCCTGGGTTTGACGAGGCAGCGTTTTGTTGTGAATGGAGATGACAGGATGAGTGTGCAGGTGTAACGTTGAGTGTCGGGGGGACACAGCCCCTCACAGGTGCTACGTGATCCTGACGACAAAGTCCTTCATACGTGTGCCAGGAGCTGAAAGGAGCCCACTCTCTTTCTCTACACTCTCAGGACCTGCAACGGCACCTTCCCGTCCTGTCCTCAGCATCTGCTGCTGCTCTAAGGGTGCTCCCTGGGTGGGATGACACAGGGAGTCCTTCCTCTGGGATTGCTGCGTGTGCCCCGGCATCCTGGAGTCCTCAGGGCGGAACACTTGACTGAGCACAGTTTTGGCCTCCACTCCTCACCCAATCCCATCCAATCCCAATCCGTGGGCTTTGAATGAAACCTACATTGGCTTTCATTGGAGAGGCCCAAGTCCAGCTGCGGCTCAAGGCCCTCTGTGGCTGGCAGGAATCCTCGGGGATATGTGTGGAGGGGCTGCCGTGTTGCTGTAGGCAGTGGCTCTCGCCCTCCCTGTAGCCTGGTCCCTGGAATCCACTGGGCCCAGGGCAGAGCCTCTGGGCAGCCACCACAGGGGTCACTTGTCTTGTGACCCCCTCCTCTCTGGCCCAACAGCCTTGTCCTGCTCCCCACACTCCAGTAAGGCCCAGCTTGTCTCTGTGTCAGGCCTGCCAGGTGCCCTCCCACCTAGTCTTCCCAACAGCTCAGGCAAACCCTGGGAGGCCCCCTCATTTCTGTGCTGACAACTGCTGACCTCACCTGCAGATTGAAGCAACCAGGACAAGGGGCTTTACCTTGAATTCTGTTCCATTGTTTCCAAATATTCAGAAGCTGGTAGGATTCTTTTGAGGGCTGAATATTTTCCAAGTCTCTAAGGTCATTCCAGGCATAGAACAGTCACTCTATCTGTGATATCGGTCATCATCACCTCCCACAGGCCCCAACACAACCCCAGGTCTGGGCAGGTGCTGCCGACCCAGGGTGTGATCTGTGTGTTGACTGGAGGTTGGCAGTGCAGCCTTGGCCTTCTTTCCAGTGTTCTATTGGAGAACAGTAGGACTGGTGGAGTCCACAAGGAGGAAGGAAATGGGATTCATGAGGGAACAGAAGCAGGCCCTACAGGAGGAGGAGGGAGGGATTCCACGTCATGCACGACGTTGTGAAGAGGGCGGCTGCCTCTTGGAGAACAGAATGACACGGCTTCCCCTCCCTTGGCTCAGTTATGGAATGTGAGGGCTGGGAAAGTGTGTGGGAAGTCAGAGGTCCCTCCCTCATAGCACAGAGGAAATGATACAGGCTGAGGAGAAGTCTCCAGAAATGGGCACATCAGAGGCTCTGGGGTTGGCTCCACAGCCCCAGGACAGCGGAGTCTGAGGGGTTCTCTCAGCTCTAACTCTCCCCTTTCCTTCTTATGGCCGCCCCATCACCGCTGCTCCTCCGGACACTCTGATGCTTGCTTCCCAGAACTGGGAGACTCCACCATGACAGGCAGCCACCAGCAGGTAACTGATCTCCTCTCATATGCTCTCTCTCTTTTATCCCCTTTCTGACTCATCAGCTCCTTTTGTAGCTCTGGTCCTTTTCCTCTTTCCCTCTCTTGTGATTGTTCTCCTGAAGGACCTGGCTCATCCCACAGTCGAGGTCGTCAGGTCTTCAGTGTCGATAAAACCCTTCCCCAACCCTACTGCCTGCTGCCTTGGCATTGCTCTGTTTACCGCGGATCTTCAGTGTTGATAAAACCCCTCTCCAGCCCTCCTGCCCGCTGCCTTGGCATTGCCCTGTTTACTGGCCCCCAGGCTGCAGCTTTGAATCTTGCTGAACAACCCTTCAGCAAGGGAGGGGGCTGGGCTGGGGTCAGCAAGGGAGGGGGCTGGGCTGGGGTCAGATGAGCTGGACCCCACCGTGCTGGAGGACTCCCAGTGACATCTGGGTCTGCTCTGGGCACCCCCTTCCCAGATAGGACTTTTCCTGCACTGGCGTCTCTGGACATATGCAACTGTTCTCTTTCTCACAGGTGTCAGCAAGTCCTTCCTCTGCACCTGCAGAAGCAGCACAGAAAAAACAAAAGTGGAAGAGGAAGTGTGAGTGTGCAGCGGGCAGAATTATGAGGGAAGCAGACACGTGCCCGTGTTCTTCATGGCTATGCTCACTTTCCTGTTGTCCCATCAGGAAAACCAGGAAGCTCAGGAAGGATACCCTGAACTATTGGGACATTTTTAATATATTTTAGAGACCTCTGAAGGTAAGTGAAGAGATGGCCTGAGAACATCCTCCAGGAGACAGACACCCACTCCATAGCAGACCCTGAGCCTGCTGGGCTGAGCCCTCCACAGGCTGCTTAGTGAGGGAGAAACTGAGGTGCTGGTCGGGCCACCGTGTGCAGGATACCAGGGGCTGTGCACTGTGTTATTTGTCTGCAGTGACACTTCAGCTCACCAGCATCTCATTTGGGGGGACAGAGCTGGGTCAGAGCCCCTTGAGGCCAACAGGGAGCATCACTAGTTCATCCGGAGGAGACACTAGGGTTGACAGTGACAGACTGGATTAAGAAAGACTGGATTAAGAAAATGTGGCACATATACACCATGGAATACTATGCAGCCATAAAAAAGGATGAGTTCGTGTCCTTTGTAGGGACATGGATGCAGCTGGAAACCATCATTCTCAGCAAACTATGGCAAGAACAGAAAACCAAATACTGCATGTTCTCCCTCATAGGTGGGAATTGAACAATGAGATCACTTGGACACAGGAAGGGGAACATCACACAACGGGTCCTATTGTGGGGTGGGGGGAGGGGAAGGGATGGCATTAGGAGATATACCTAATGTAAATGACGAGTTAATGGTGCAGCACACCAACATGGCTCATGTATACATATGTAACAAACCTGCACGTTGTGCACATGTACCCTAGAACTTAAAGTATAATAAAGAATAAAACATAAACTTTTATTTTTCTTATTTTTAATTGGTCTAACAAATAAAAATGTGTCCAAAATAATACTGGCAATAATGTGTACAATTAGGTAGAGTTATATGTTTATGTGTGTACATATATGAGGGTGGGTGGGCAAATATATATATGTATATTTATATATATATGCTTATGTACACTTGTATGTCAGTAAACTGAATGACAGCAATGATACAAGGAATGGTAGAGAGGAATTAGAAATCTTTTGTTACTATGAGGTACTCAAACTACTGTGGAAGCAGGATAATGTTATCTGGAAGTGAGCACAGATTAATTGTAAATGTATATTGCAAACACTAGAGCAGCCACTAAAAAAGTGGGAACAGAGAATTATATCTCATATGCTATAAAAGAGAAAATGGAATCATATGAAATGCTGACCCAAATCATGTAAAGCTAAAACCCCTCAAAAACGCATTTAGTTCATCTTCTTATATCCATGAAACATATATATTATTTATATAACCTTAAATATTTAAATTAGATTTGCCAAACCAAATTCTGATTACTTGCCCATAACGTTAGAAATGAAAAGATAACAAGAAGTGACATTAAGAAAGATGATGGCAAAGTAGAAGTGCCAGAAATGTGTGTCTCCACCTAGTCCACAACCATAGTGGTGACTCTCTGGAGTCACTGTCAGAAACTCTGGGGTCTCTTTGAACACTTCCAGCTACCAGGGAAAAAGCTCAGCTGGTCAACTGCAGTGAATGTGGACCAACTGCAGGCTTCAGCATAACAGTGGCTCCCCAGCCCCCAGCCCCAGGCTCATGGCCAGCAAATGTAGGGAAGGGAATCCGTGTTTCTAGGGCAGATGGCTGGAGCCACATTTGGCAATAGGACCTTGCCTCCGCTTTATCAGGGTTCTATGTCCTGACTGCACATTGCTGCTTCTGATTGCCCGGGATAGGTGCACAGAAGCTGCCCATCACTGTTTCTAACCCACTGGATGAAGCAGCCTTTAGAAGACTTAAAGGAGCTGCAATGTGTGTGTGTGTGTGTGTGTGTGTTCAAAAACCACCATCTATACAGGGAGAATAAGGCCGAGTGCGGTGGCTCACGCCTGTAATCCCAGCACTTTGAGAGGCCAAGGCAGGCTGATTGTCTAAGGTTAGGAGTTCGAGACCAGCCTGGCTAACATGGTGAAACCCCGTCTCTACTAAAAATACAAAAAAATTAGCCGGGCATGGTGGTGGTTGCCTTTAGTCCCAGCTACTCAGGAGGCTGAGGCAGGAGAATCGCTTCAACCTGGGAGGCGGAGGTTGCAGTGAGCCAAGATCGTGCCATTGCACTCCAGCCTGGGTGACAGAACGAGACTCTGTCTCAAAAAATAAATAAGTATACAAGGAGAATTTGGACAGCCTACCACGTACAGAAGGAAAGACGCTGATTCTCAGCCCAGACGCACCCAACACAATTTTGTAAAAATCCTAAACCTTAGAGGAAAGTAAGAATCTGACTTTCTGAGTTATCACATTTTAAGATTAAAAATGTCCAGTTTCCAACAAAAACGAATCACAGGGAATACAAGGAAACTGGAAAACACGGCCTGTTAAAAGAACTAAGTAAGTGAATATAAAGTGTGCCTGAGGATGCCCAGACATCAGACTCACTAGACAAAAATTGACCACAATTCTGCAAGATGCACAAGAGCTGAAGGAGACGTGGACAATGACAGAAAAATGAACATACAACCAAATGAGAAAGTCAATGAAGAGATAATACTAAAAGGAATCCAAAAGAAATTCTGCAACTCAGGCCAGGCGCGGTGGCTCACACCTGTAATCCAGCACTTTGGAACGCAGAGGCAGGTGGATCACCTGAGGTCAGGAGTTCGAGACTAGCCTGGCTAACCTGGTGAAACCCCGTCTCTATTATAAAAACAACACACAAAAAATTAGTTGGGCATTGTAGCGGGTGCCTGTAATCACATCTACTCAGGAGGCTAAGGCAGGAGAATCACTTGAACCCAGGAGGTGGAGGTTGCAGTGAGCCGGGATTGCACCATTGCACTCCAGCCTGGGCAACAGAGCGAGAACTCATGTCTCAAAAAAAAGAAAGCAAGAAATTCTGCAACTGAAAAGTAGAGTAACTGAAATAAAAATTTACTAGAGAGCTTTAAAAGCAATTTGACTAACTACAGAAAAAATAGCAAATTTGAAGACAGAACAATTGAAATGATCCAGTGTCCAGAACAAAACAAAATGGCTGAAGAAAAAACCAACAGATCCTAAGGGACCTGTGGGACACCATGAAGTTGGACCAACAAACAGTTTGTGAGAATCACAGAACAGGGGGGAAAAGAATATTTGAAAAAATGGTGAAAATGTCCCCAAATTTTATTTAAAAATGTTAATATAAATATCCAAGCTGGGCCAGTGGCTCATGCCTATAATCTCAGCACATTGAGAGGCTGACATAGGACATTTGCTTAAGGCGAGGAAATGTGAGATCAGCCTGGGTGAAATAGACCCTGTCTCCACACATACAAAAAACAACTAAAATTAAAATTAAAAATTAGCTGGGTGTGGTGGTATGCGTCTATAGTCTCAGCTTCTCAGAAAGCTAAAATGGGAGGACTGCTTGAACCCCTTCAGCCTGGATGACAAAGTAAGGCTTGTTTCAAACATTTTCTTAATTTTTAAAATTTTTTCTAAAAATCCAAGAAGTGCAACAAACCTCAAAATAGGATAAGTGCAAAAATCTCGCCCTAAGGCATGTTATCATCAAGCTATCAAAAGGCAAAGACAAAGAGACAATCTTGAAAAAAGCAAGAGAGAAGCTACTTGTCACATACAGGGAATCCTCAGTCAGACTGTCAGCAGATTTCTCATCAGAAGCCTTGGAGGCCGGAAGGCAGCCAGGGTGACAGATCAGTGCTGAGGGCAGGGGGGAACCGCTCAACTAAGAGTCTTAGGTCTGGGTCTAAGGGTTTAAATGTGTTTCTCAAAGTTTATGTGTTAGAAACTTCATGCAGAGGTGTCTGAAGGGGAACCTTAAAAGGATTAATGCCATAATCATGGGGGTGGATTCCGATCAAAGGACAAATGTGGCCCTCTCTGGCTCTGTTTCTTTCTCACCCTCTTTTGCCCTTTCGCCTTCCACCATGAGATGATGCGTGCGAAGGCCTGACTTTCCCAGTCCGTTGTGTTCCATTACAGCAGCACAAAAGAGACTAAGGCAATTGTTCTTCAAGGGAAAAATCAGGACACTACCAGATAAACAATGGCTAAGGAAATGTATCACCACTAAACCTGTCCTGCAGGAAAAGCCTGAGAGAGTTCTTCAGGTTGAAATGAAATAGCACTAGACGGTTAACTCAAAGTCATATAAAGAAATAAAGATCTCAGGTAAAGGTAAAACATGGGCAATTATAAAAGCTGATATTATTGTCATTTTGGTTTGGAATTCCACTTTTTAATGTCCTGTATGATATTAAGTAGTATTTTAAAATACTCATCTATGCTGTTAGGCAAACAGTGTATAAAGATGCAATCTGTGCCATTAATAACAAAAAGGGGGAGAATGGTGCTGTCCAGAAGCAGACACTTCGTATCTTATTGAAGTTGAGTTGCTATAAATTCAAATTAGAGTGGTTTAACATTAGGATATTGTGTTAGGCCATTCTTGCTGCTATAGAGAAATACCTGAGACTGGGTAATTTATAAAGAAAAGAGGTTTAATTAGTTCACAGTTCTGCAGGCTTTACAGAAAGCACGGTGCTGGCATCTGCTTCTGGGGAGGCCTCAGGAAGCTTTTAATCATAGAAGAAGGCAAAGGGGGAGCAGGCACATCACACAGCCAGAGCAGGAGCAACAGGGAGCAAGGGGGACGCCATCACCCTTTACAACAAGATCTCATGAGAAACACACTGCATCAAGCCATGAGGAATCCATCCCCATGATCCATCACCGCCCACCAGGCCCCACCTCCAGCATCGGGTATTATGATTCAACATGAGATTTGGGCAGGGACAAGTATTTAAACCACATTAGACGTTACATATAATTTCCATGATAGCCACAGAAAAAACAGCTGCAGCATAGACACTCCTATAGATACAAATAGCAAAATGGCAAAAGTAATTCCTTATCAGTAACTACTTTAAATGTAAATATATTAAACTCGCTAATCAAATATATAGACTGGCTAAACGTAGGAAAAAACATAACCCAACTACAATACTGGCCACAAGAGACTCACTTTAGATCCAAAGACAAAAATGGGCCAAAGTAAAAGAACAGAAGAGGATACTTCATGTAAATAGTGACAAAAGAGTGCTGTAATATCTGATTTTTGAAACTATTAAACCAAATATCATTATAAGAGACAAGGAAGGATGTCACATATTTTTAAAGATTAAACATAACAAGTTATAACAATATAAACATTTAAATACCTAATAACAGGCATTCAAAACAAATGAAGCAAAAATAGGACAGAATTGAAGGAGAAATAGGAAGTTCTATAATGCTAACCAGAGACTTCAATACCCACTGTCAATAATAGAGAGAACAACTAAGATCAGATGGAAATAGACCGAAATAACACAACGCATCAGCTCTACTAACAGACATGGACAGAACACTCCACCCAACAACAACAGAATCCACATTCTTCTCAGGTTCACATGAAACAGTCTTCAGGATGGACCACGTGAGGCCACAAAACAAATCTTAATGGATATTAAAAGATATACCAAGTATCTTCTCCAACCACAATGGATTGAAGTTAGAAATCAATACAACTGAAACATTCACAACTATGTGCAAATTCAAGAACAGAATTTACAACAACCAATAGTTCAAAGAGAATTACAAGAAAAGTTAGAAAACAATTAAGAGACACATGAACACACAGCATTTCCCACAGTGCTCAGAGGGAAGTTTATAAGTTTTAAATGCCTACGTTAAAAGAAGAAAAACATTAAATTAATAACCTAACTTTAAGCCATAAGGAAATGTAAAACAAGAGCAAACTAAACCCAGGGCTAACAAAAAAGAGAAATAAGAGAGACTGAAATGAAGATGATTAAAAAGAGTATTATTAAAATAGAGAAAAATCAATACAACCAAACAGTTGGTTCTTTGAAGACATTAGCAAAACAGACAAACTATTAGCTGGAGTAACACTTCCAAAGAAATAAGACAAAGCCTATAATTGAAATAATGTGGAGACATTACTATTGACTTTACATCATATAAAGAATAATAAGAACACTATAAATTTTTCTATAGTCCAAACAAATTAGATAACTTAGAAGAAATGGACAAATCCCTGAAACACCCCAAATCACCTAAACTGACCTACAAAATAAATAGAAAATCTCGAGAGATTTAACAAGAGCCTGAATCCGGTAATGACACAACTCCCAACAAAAAGTAGTCCTAGATCAGATGGCTTCACTGATGAAATCCCATCAAACCTTAAAAAAGATTAACACCAATCCTCTTCAAACTCTTCCAAAAGATTTAGAGGAAGAAAACTCTTCCCAATTGATTGTATGAGGCCACAATCACTCTGATACTAAAGCCCAACAAAGACCTCACAGGAAAAAAAAATTATAGACCAGTATCCCTCAATAATATGGAAGAAAAAAACCTCAACAACCAGCAAATCAAATCGAACAGCATGTAAGAAAAGTATTCAACATAACCAAGTGGGATATATTCCAGGAATAACAATGTGGTTCAACATAAGAAAGCCAATAAACATAATAAATCACATTAATAAAACTATATGATCACCTTAAACAATGCAAAAAAAAGCATTTGACAAAATCCAACCCCTTTTTATAATAGAAACTCTCAGAAAACTAGAAATAGAAGGAAAAATTCCTAAACATGATAATGGGTATTTTTTTTAACCCACAGCTAGCATCATACTGAATGGTAAAGATGGAAAGCTGTCCCTATAAGATTAGAAACAAGAAATGATGCCCAATTGCTGCTATTGAATAGTGTACTGGGAATCACAGACAGCTATTAGAAGGGAAAGAAATAAAAGGCATGCACATTGGAAAGAGGTAAAAGTATCTCTCTGCAGATTACATCATCCCATATGCATAAAATCCCAAAGACCACAAGAGAGCTACTGGAGCTAGTTCAACCTGAATGGCACAAGATCAATACACAGAAATCAGACGTTTCTAAACACCAATAATAAACAATCTAAAATATAAATTAAGAAAATGATTCCACTTGTAATAGCATCTAGAAAATTAAGTATTGGGGATAAATTTAGTCAAGGAAGCAAAAGACATGCTGAAAACTACAAAACACTGTTAAAAGAAAGAAGCCCTAAACAAATGGAAAGGCATCCATCCTGTGTGTTTATGAAGACTTCATCCTTCACAACGCTGAATTTCACAACAACTTCATGGACATGACAACAAAAGCACAGGTAGAAAAATAAAAAATAGATAATAACTCTACATATACATCATAATTAAAAACTTTTGCACATGAAAGTAAAATCAAGAAAGTGAAAGACAACCTACAGAATGAAATAAGATCTTTATAAATCATGTATCTGTTAAGGAATTAATATCCACATGATATAAAGAACTCGACAATTCAACAACAAAAGCCAACAACTCAGTTAAAAAGTGAGCAAGGACTTCAATGAACAGCCCCCCAATGAATCACACAAACGGCCAGTAAGTACGTGGAAAGATGTTCACCATCACCAGTCATCAGGAAATGCAGATCCAACCACAATGGGGTACCCCCACTTCACACTATTAGGATAACGATAATAAAAAGAAGGGGTAAAAGTGTCAGTTGGGATGTGGAGAAGCTGAACCCTGCGTTTTGCTGGTGGATGGAACTGGTGCAGCTGCTGTAGAAAATGGCATGGCAGCTAGTTTTAAATTTTTTGTAGAGACAGGGTCCTGCTATGTTGCCAGGCTGCTCTCAAACTCCTGGCATCAATCAACCCTCATGCCTCCGCCTCCCAAGGTGCTGCAATTACAGGAGTGAGCCATCATGCCTGGTCCAGGTTAAATACTTTCTTATGCGATGGACTAGAAATAGATCATCAGAAATTATGTTTTTACTCACACATGATGAATTCCAATAGTCAAAAATGTTTAGAACTCAATCAGAACTTGAGAACTTCTTTCAGCAGGTGCTACATGATTCAATGACTAGGATTCTGCTTCAATCAAGTTATTTTACAGTTATCCAAGTATTTCTTTTGTTTTTCTACTAAGTTTTAAGCAGGGAGATTATCCACATATGGCCTACACCACCAAGCAGCACACCTACCACTGAGAAGGCTCCTGACCATTCTCTCATGTGAAACGACCTGACCAAGATTCCCCAACAATTTGTGAGACTCAACCATATTCAAACTAAATACATCGTTTTCAATAGTCATTTAATTTATCACATAGTTGCTGTACTGTAGCAGAACAAGATCTTAGCCCAAAATTAAGTCACCACAGATTGACCTATTTATAAAGCTTATCAACAATCACAGTTTGACAAAAATCAAAACTAATAGATGCTATCTCTCTTCTGTTTTTCCTTTTGTGAGATAGGTTCTCACTCTGTCACTGTAGCCTCCACCTCCTAGGCCCAAGTGATCCTCCTGCCTAAGCCTCCCAAGTAGCTGGGACTATAGCCATGCTGTGTGTGTGTGTGTGTGTGTGTGTGTGTGTGTGTGTGTGTGTAGAGACAGGGTCTCCCTGGCTGTCTTGAACTCCTGGGCTCAAGCAATCCCCCTACCTTATCCTACCAAACTGTTAGAATTACAGGTATGAGCCACCATGCCTGGCCTGTTATCTCTTTCTTATTCCTAATTTGCTACCTCCAACTGGCTGAGGGCTGGAAATCCATTAACTAAATACATTAAAATAGCAAAACGCTGCACTGTCGCCCACACATCCACATCAATGATTACGCACATGTCCAAGTGTCTACAGCCCAGCACTGGGAGGAAAACCCGTGGACTCTGGAACACTCATCCCGGCTGCCTGAGAACATGGCTTTGTATTTTATGTCTACGTAACTGCCTCCTCTGGTTAATTACAAGTTCTTGAAACTGCTGAATAGGCAACTTCTAGATAAGTGTGCATTTCTGTCCATAATAAAGTACTACACTGTGGAATACAATTACTATAATAGGAGTTCAGATCAGTTAATGTGGTCTAGAATGATTAAAAACTAACCCAAGACATGGCCTAAGACTGGCAAGATGGTTCTAATTCGGATTAGGGACAGAAGGGAGAAAAATGTGGAAAGTAAAAGAGACAGATAACGTGGGACCAGATGACACAGTACCTTAAGAACTATTAATTTGAAACATAGGGAAACAGAGAATATTATACACAAAAAAGTCACTGTAACAAGATTAATCTGCTGGTTTCAAACATGACAGAGTAGCGAGACACTGTCGATGGGGCAATGAATTAGATGTGGTAATTAGTACCTTGAACTTGAATTGGTGTAAATGAAATAAACGAGAAAGAACAAATCTTTAAGGCACAGGCTTGAGGCTGTACTGACAGGATTTAGGCCTTCTGAACCTCATCTCCCTTAAGGTGACAATCCCGTCTCTCGCTGCTTGAGTCCACTCATAGAATTCTGTGAGGATGGAACGACTGTCTCCATAGCACACACACTCCCTCCAAATAGTAAACCCCATTCTACAGTCGTGAGTCGTACGTTACTAACAAAGGGCATAATGAATAGGTAAGGGTCAGAAATGACGACCAAGTTTCAAGCACAGAAAAAATGGGGTGCTATTAACCAAGAGAAAAAAATAGAAACAATGAAAAACAAATATACTTGAGCTAGGTAAAAGGTGTGTTTGCTTTTTATTTAATGACTTGATGTTGAGCCAAGGAACTTTCCACATGAATGATCTAAACGCAAGACATTAAATATTTAAATGTAAGAAAATTATGGGAAAGAAACTTACAAACATACAGAAACATTATTGGTAGTAATTTTTTATACTTTTTCTATAGTTTTTAGATGTCAACAGCAATTGTTTCTTTGGAAATAAACTGATATCGTACAAACGCAAAGGACTCCTTATTCCCTTTCATAGGACGTCTAAGGGAAAAGCATAACTTACTCTGTTAGGAGCTGGAAATACCACTCACAATTTTCTGCCATTTCTTTCTCAGTTATCCAAGTACTTGAGGGAAATGGCATGATGTGTGTGCCTTCTACTACCTCCAGTAACTACAGAATTACCTGAAAAATACAGTTAATGGAGCAATGTCCAATCTGAGCAATCTAATATAATAACTGCATCCTTCTCATCAAAATATTCTTTTATGTAAACCTAATACTTAGCATTCATATGACAAACTGCACAATTTGTCCAGAGAGAAAATATACAACAGTAAGAGGGAACAATAAACATGATAAACTGCTACCATATGAGAGAATTCACATCTAATTCTTGATGTCTGGGTAGAACACAATCATTCATAACATTCAGCCCAAGAAATACCGACTATGGTATTTCTAATAACACCAATTTACTCAGGTATTATTAAAAATTCTTTTTTTTTTTTCTTTTCTTTTTTAAGACAGAGTCTCGCTCTGTCGCCCAGGCTGGAGTGCAGTGGCCAGATCTCAGCTCACTGCAAGCTCCACCTCCCGGGTTCACGCCATTCTCCTGCCTCAGCCTCCCGAGTAGCTGGGACTACAGGCGCCCACCACCTCGCCCGGCTAGTTTTTTTATTTTTTTTAGTAGAGACGGGGTTTCACCGTGTTAGCCAGGATGGTCTCGATCTCCTGACCTTGTGATCCGCCCGTCTCGGCCTCCCAAAGTGCTGGGATTACAGGCTTGAACCACCGTGCCCGGCCAAAAATTCTTTTGAAAAGTTTTAGACTTGAGGGAGTGGAAGGGTTAATACATACTAAATCATACCAAAGAAATACTTTTTTAAAGGTAAAGTCAAACTTAGAATTTAAGAACAAAAAAACCGTTTCAGTACTTACTAGTCCCAGGGATGGACAAATAAACTGGCCCACTGATAAGGGAGAGCTGCTTCCTCAGGCTCTTTGTGAGTTGTTTCTGAAGAGTGTGAGCCACGGGAAATCCAGGAGCTGTTAGATTCTGGTTGAAACTTAGAGTTTAAACTGCGGTTTTCATTTGCCTGTTGAAAGAATATCTTGGCTGTATTACTCTTTTAAATTAAAATTGAACATTTTGCAGGCGAAACTGTAGGGAGCGGGCAATGTCTGCTTCACTGAATAACGCAGGCAGTCAACGTAGAAGGAATCTGAGAAATTCCCACCGTCACGTGAGTGTAATCAATGTTTCCCAGAGGCTTCAGCAGGGCGCTGAACCCAACTCTGAAGAGTTGTCAGGGAACAGGATGTTCACAGGGCTTGATGTCTCATCCCAGATGACTGACTGATAACAAAGGGGAAAGGCCACCTTCACAAAGAGATGTGTAGCCGACTCCACCTTAGCCAAAATTACCAAATACAGCACCAGAAATCATGGGACAGACAGACTCAAACGTCTCCTGGTGTGAGGCAATGAGAAGTACACCACGCTGCCCATGTTTAATCTGAATCCACTCATGAGGAAACTGTTTAATCTGTATTCTTGCAAAAAGGTTTAATCTAATCTAGTCAAGGTGGGGAGCAATCAGATGTATCTAGATTGCGAGTCACTCTGAAAAACAAAGAGCCTAGATTTTACAAAATGTTTCACGTCATGAAAGAAAGACTCCAAATTAAAAGAGAATACAGAAATATGACAACCAAAGGCGAGGTTAATCTCTGATTAAACTGTGAATCGAAAACAATAAAAATAGAGGACATTTGGGAGATAATCACATAAATTTCAATGTAGACGGTACATTAATTTAAATTATTTTATCAAAGTTAGATAACAGAACTGTGATTATGGAGAAAGATGTCCTGATTCACAAGAGATAGATGCTGAAGTGTTGGGGTAAGATGTCGTGTTCTCTGCAATTTACTTTCAAGTGATTCAGGGAAGAAAGTATGAAGACAGAAAAAACGCAAAAGTGGCAAACACTAGCAACTGGTGAATCTGCATGAAGAATATGTAAATCTCCATTGTGTTAGCCTTTAAATTTTCTGTAGGTTGAGAGAGAGGTAGGAAGAAGGAAGAAAAGGCAGGCATTCCTCATCAATTCATACCTGGAAAAAAATGGAGTCCAAAGAAAACCAGAGGCTTAAATTTCATGTGAACATCCAATGAGAACAATAGTGATTTTCTAATGTCAAATTTTGGAAAAGCCACAAAGACTGGAACATTCCTGACTAGGAGCACTTGCAGGTAATGTCCAATCTTTTTCTGGAGGCTCCAGTCCTTCTAGATCTTCATATGTTTAATTCCATCACTCCTGGAAATGCCAGTTGTTCAAAATAAGCCTTTAAATGGTCATCATCAAACATTTCATCATCAATATCATCATCTATTAATAAAACTTAGGAAAATTTAGGACATACTTTAAAGTGTTGACTAAACAACAATTTGTAACAAAAACAGCTGGTAAGACATAAGTGAGTCAAAGAACTATATGATTTTGTTTTTATATTTGACATGAGAAAACTTCTCAATTATAACTCATTATGAAAATAGTATTTAACCTCTTTGAGAGGACAGGAAAGAAAGATCCTGGCATGTTATCAAAACTTAGGATGCGGCTGGGCACAGTGGCTCACGCCTGTAATCCCAACACTTTGGGAAGCCGAGGTGGGTGCATCACCTGAGGTCAGGAGTTCAAGACCAGCCCGGCCAACGTGGTAAAACCCTGTCTCTACTAAAAATATAAAAACTATATTATATATATAGAGAGAGAGCCAGGCGTGGTGGCATATGCCTGTAATCCCAGCTACCCAGGAGGCTGAAGCAGGAAAATCGCTTGAACCCGGGAGGCAGAGGTGGCAGTGAGCCGAGATCACGCCACTGCACTCCAGCCTCAATGACAAAGTGAGACTCTGTCTCAAAAAAAAAAAAAAAAAAGTGTGATAAATGTGGCATCATAAATAAATGGGAAGAGAGCAGCAGGTTCTTCAGAAAATGAGAGCCTATCATAGGATAAGTAAAAGGAAGAAAGGGAAGAACCAAGAAAGAGAGAATGGGAGGGAGAGAGGGAGGGAGGGAGAGCAGGGGGGTGGGAGGGAGAGAAAGAGGACACTGCAGGGGTTTTCGATGTTGTAACACCCAGCTCTGCAAGGTCAGGATAAAACAAGAACTCTCAATCAGTCATGGTCTTCTAAGTTGGCACTGCCTTTTTAGAGGTTAATTTTGCAATTAAGTCTCAACAACACTCATCACCTTGACTTAGCAATTTCACCTCCAAGAATCTAGCATACTAAAACAATCAAAGATCAAATACATTCGGGTCAGTAATTCTTTATCCACAATTACACAATCCAGCAAAGTCTGAAAAATCCTTTGGCAGCAAAACCTGTCCTCAGTGGATTTGATGCTACTTATAGTTTCTATTTATCCCACTCGACTCAACAGACTGACCTTCAACGTCCTGCATAATTTGGCCCCAGCCTACTTTTCTGGGCTTATTTACCAGTGCAGCCTCCTACAGGTGCTGTAAACCTGCCACAAAAAAACCCTGGCTGTCCCCCAAACACAGCCCATGTTCCTCACAACAGTGCCGTTGCTGAGGCCACTGCTGCTTCCTGTCAGCTCCTCCTCCTCCTCCCACATCCAAGCCCTGGCACAGACCCCATCCTCCTTCCGGAAAGCATCAGAGATACCTGCCTCAATCAGAGTTAATTTCTCACCCCCATGATTCCAGGCACGTTCTGGTACTGCTGGATGTAAGTCACCCAACCTCACATTCAGCTCTGTATCTGCTCTTTGCACCTGGCTGAAGTCTCAGAGAGCAGAGGCGAAATACTACACGGCTCCCTAAATTTCTAAACACAGGGCTATATACTGAGTGGCACCTCTAGGTGACTACTTTGCACCCTAACGATGATAAACTGAGTGAAACTGTATCAGGTTTAATACACAGAAAAAAATTCTGGAATTCCATCACTTAATAGGAGTGGTCATTTGAGTGTCCACAGGAAGGAAGAAAAGGGGGAAAAAACCAAAACGTTGTGGCATTATAGCTACTGCAACAGAAAACGAGAATAAAACGGAGTGGCAAGGTGAAGACCAGGGAAATGCGGGTGACTACAGGACTACAAGAATCTTCCAAGCCTGTTGATAATGCAAGTTTCTCATTTTCTAATCAGCTAGTGTGGCCTACGTCACTGTTTGGAGTCTTGTCTTCAAAATGTTTTCCAGCATCAAGCACTAACAATCTAAGTGCTGGGATTACAAGCCAGCGCCGGAGCCACCGTGCCCAGCCATTACTAGTTCTATATGTGAAAATATGCACAGAATATAAACTATTAAAAAACATAAAAAATACTATGTCTGAATGTAACTTACTGTACTATGGATTTCTTAAAAACTAAGGTAAAAGTCATTAAGAAACGTCATTAAGAAAACGATGCAACGCATAAAAGAACATCCGTCAAAATGACAAAAACTCCAAAACGAGTGGCCAAAGATCCAAAAAAATTAATAAAACAATTGAAAAATTACTTGAGCAAAACATGGAGACTATGATGATGCAATGACAGCTTGTGTCTTAAAAATAAACAGGTTAATGTAAGAATTTTTTTTTAATTAAAGTATATTAAACTGCAGAGGAAGGTTTATCCCCAATACTCGCATGATCCAGAGGGCTGATGGGCCAGGGAAATCTACCGAGGTTCGGCCTTTCCGGAGGTTCACAGACAGAGGTTCGAGGGTCACTGCGGGGGCACAGAGGTGGAGGGAGGGGGGCTCCTTGGGGTGGGTGTGCAGGTCTCAGAGGGCTCCTCTGGCCCTGGAAGGTGGCCTTTGGCCCCTGGCCTCCCCAGAGTCTATCCACAGGGCACCGAGGCCTGTGTGCTGCTCTCTGCTGAGGGGGTTGTCTGTGCCCAGAGTGTCTATAAATGTCCTGCAGGAGGCACTGAGCCCAGGCATGCACATGGGCGCCTTCAGGGGGCTGGACCTCCAGATACTGAAACACAAAGAGGGAGGGGGGAGGTTCAAGGATCAACAGGCAGAGTCTCATGCCCCCAGGCCCTGGGAGGAGCAGGAGGTCTGATGACACAGGATGGGGTGGTGACCTGCCCCTCCACCCAGACCCTCCATGCCATCCAGACAGAAGAGCTGCACGTTGAATGTGTGCCGCTTCCTGAAGCATGTCACTGTTATCGCCCAATAAGACGTGATCCTTCCAATATCCCCACCAACCCTGTCTATGCATTTTCATTTTAAAAATCATTAATGCTTTGGTAAAACATACATTTCACTTAATACATTCCAGCATAAAAGCATTACAGAAACCACTGTTTTAAAGAGTGAAGAACAGGGTGTGTGTATACATATACATACATATACACACATATATATAAAATACACAAAAAAACACACATTCATATTGGAATGAGACCACCACTTCTCCGCCTGTCCTTCCCAATTTCTCCCCCACCTCCCCTTTTCCCTCGTTTATAAGACAGGAGAAAAAGGAGAAAGCAAAACGTTGGAAAGAAACAGAAGTAAGATAAATAGTTAGACGACCTTGACGCCACCACCAGGCCCTGGTGGTTAAAATAATAATAATAGTATTAACCCCTGACCAAAACTACTTGTGTCATCTGTAAATTCCAGACATTGTATGAAGAAACACTGTAAAACGTTTTGTTCTGTTAGCTGATGCATGTAGCCCCCAGTCACATTCCCCACGCTTGCTCCATCTATCACGACCCTTTCACATGGACCTCTTAAAGTTTTAAGCCCTTAAAAGGGCCAAGAATTTCTTTTTCAGGGATCTCTGCTTTTAAGACGCAAGTCGGCTGATGCTCCCGGCCAAATAAACTTCTTCCTTCTTTAATCCCGTGTCTAGGGAGTTTTGTCAGCGGCTAGTCCTGTTACAATATGTATATCAAGGGTTTCTTTGTTGGCATCTGACACAGACACAGAACCACTGATGCCCAAACCAGTGTTCTCCACACACAGAAACCTCCAACCTCATCTTGAGAAATAGGGCCATGAGGCCACCCCAGGCACCAAGGGCTCCACAGAGACTGAAGGGTCCCTGGGACTGGGCACATCCCAGCGAGTCTTGGATCCTGGCCCTTCCCCTTCTTGATGCCAGGCCCTACTGAGTGCCCGCAGGTGTACAATGCTGGGCTGGGTGGGCTGCTTGTGTGGCAAGAAACCTGGGGCTGCCTCTCTCCCTCTCACACCTTTCCCAGGAGGCATGAAACAGGGGGATTCATGATCAACCCCAGTGGCTGCTCATGCTGAACCGGTGATGCTCCCTCCCCGTTGTCTTCTGGGGACATGGAGGGCAGGGCTGGGTCCCCTCAAATGAGCTTAAGTGGCACTGCAGACAAGAACGTAGTGCATGGCCCTCAGAATCCTGCATGTGGTAGCCTGACCAGCACCTCAGCCCCTCCCTCATTAAAGCAGCCTATGGAGGGCTCAGCCTAGTGGGCTCAGGGGCTGCTATGGAGAGGGTGTCTGTTCCCTGGAGGATGTTCTCAGGGCATCCTTCACTTGCCTTTAGGGATTTCCACCATCAAATACAAAGGTCACAACAGGTCAGGTCAGGCTCTTCAGCATCCTCATCCTCCTCGAGCTCACTAGGTTTTCTGAGGGCACAAGAGAGTGAGGGCAGCCATGGGCACACAGGCATTGTCTGCCTTCCCCTGGTCATGCCGCCCCTGCACACTCACATTTCTTCTGCCTGTTCAGGGTTTGTCTCTATTGCTTTTTCTTCAGGTTCCGGGAGAGGACTTGTTGGTATCTGGGAGGAAGAAAACAACTGCGCATGTCCAGAGACCCCAGTGCAGCAAAAGCCCCCGGGCGGGGGAGGGGGGCGGCCAGAGCAGACCCAGATGTCACTGGGAACCCTTCCTGCAGGGTGGGGCCAACTCTTCTGACCTCAGCCGGGCTCCCCGCCTAAACCCTGTGGGGTTGCTCAACAGGATTCAACGCTACAGCCTGGGGACCAGGAATCGAGGCAATGCCAAGGCAGTGGGCAGGAGGGCTGCAGAGGGACTTTATAGACACTGAAGACCAGGACATCGACTGTCACGACAAGACCAGGTCCTTCAGGAGGATGATGATAAGAGAGCAGAAGAGGGAGAGAGCCAGAGCTAGAGGAGGAGCTCATGAGTCAGAGGCTGAGAGAGAGGAGGAAGGAAATCAATTACATGCTGACGGCCGTCTGCACACTTGGGCTCTTCCGTATCTGCTCCAGAAGCTTCAGGGTGTCCGGAGGAGCAGCGGTGACAGGGTGGCCATGGGAAGAAAAGGGGATAGTTAGAGTGGAGGGGGCACTCGGGCTCTGGTGTCCTCAGGCTGGGGAGCCAACCCCACAGGCTCAGGTGTGCTTATCTCAAGCCTTCTCCGCAGCCTGGATCACTTCCTCTCTGCAGTGAGGGAGGAGCTTCTGACTTCCCACACGCTTTCCCAGCCCTCACACTCCGGAACTGTGCCCAGGCAGGGAAGGTCGTGTCATCCCTGTTCCTCCAAAAGGCAGCCACCTTCTGCAGGGCATTGTGCACGCCATGCGATCCCCTCCCTCCTCCTCCTCTAGGGCCTGTTTCTGCTCTTCTGATGAATCTCGTCCCTTCTCCCTGTCAACCACCACTCCCACTGCTCTCCAACATAAAAACACAGGAGGGAAGGGCAGCGCTGCACTCCCAGGCCCTCCATAAACCCGTGGATCACACCCGAGGTCGGCAGCACCTGCCACAGACCTGGGTCTGAGTTGGGGCCTGTGGGAGGCAAAGACAATGGGTGTCACGGATTGAGTGACTGGGATGTATGCCTGGGATGGCCTTAGGGACCTGGAAAATACTCCACCCTCACATGAATCCCACAAGCTTCTGAAAGCGTAGAAACACTGTAATGGGACTCTAGAGAAAGCCCCTTGTCCCATGGCCTGAACGCGCAGGTGAGGTCACGTTGTCAGCACATGAATGAAGGGGTCCTGCCAGGGTTTGGCTGAGCTGTGGGAGGACTGGGTGGGAGGGCACCTGGCCAGCCTGACACAGGGAACAAGCTGGGCCTGACGGCAGCGTGGGGAGTGGGACAAGGCTGTTGGGCCACAGCGGAGGGTGTGACAAGACAAGTGATCCCTGTGCCAGGTGCCCAGCGGCTCCATCCTGGGCCTGGCAGATCCAGCAACCAGGTCCTAAGGAGGGTAAGAGCCACTGCCTACAGCAACACAGCAGCCGCTCCACACACACCCTAGGATTCCTGCCAGCCACGGAGGGCCTCGGTGACAGCTGGACACTGAATTCTCAAATTAAAGCCAATTCAGTTTCCATTCCTAGCCCAACAATTTGGGACTGGGTGAGAAGTGGAGGCCAGAATCCTGCTCAGGCATGGGTTTCTCCCCTCGGGTCTTTAGGATCGGGGCACACTGAGTAATCCCAGAGGAGGATTCTCTGCCTCAGGAGACTCGGAGGGCGCTGCGACCAGGAGCAGACGGTGAGGGCTGGTCAGGAAGGTGCTGCTGCAGGTCCCGAGAGTGCAGAGGATGAGGATGGACTCCTGCCACCTCCTGGCACACGCATAAAGGACTTTGTGTCCAGGGCCACATAGCATCTGTGAGGGGCTGCGTCCCACCCCACTCCCCACACAGCACTCAATGCCACACCCGCATACTCATCTCTTCTCCATTCACAAAGGACACTGCCGCCCCCACCCACCCCCAAAACCCAGGGCTTTGGTGTTTGCTGTGGCACTGGCAGGAGAGATCTGGCCTTCTGGAAAAGGTCATCTTGTACACCAGAGAAGGAATCATGGGGACGAGCAGAGCACACATGATGCCCATAAAAACAAAACTCCTACCACTTTCTCATTCAGATGCAGAAAGAACAAACTGCACCTCTCCACCCGTTTCCTTTTATATTTGCTGACTTCACAGCTCCCAGCCGAGGCTCCAAAGCCCAGGTGTAACCCAGCTGCCCCCAAGAACCCTGTGCCACGGGCCCCACCTGAAGCATCTCCACCACTTGCAGAGTCTTTGTCATGATGGGTTTCAGAAAAGTTGCTGTCCTTATAGCTTCCTATAGAGACATAAACATCAGAGAAGGGTGACGTCAGAGTGACTCACCCAGCACTTCTACTCCACGCACAGCCACAGTGGATGACACCAGGTGCCCTGCTCCATCCTCTGTGATCTCAGACTCTCCTTGGGCTCTGTGGACTCAGCTGTGAGCCTTCAGGTGAGACGGAAAACCTGAAGAATCCCCCTTCACCCCTTCAACTCCACTGGCCCATTATGGCTCTCAGCTCCACTCTGAGAACCCTGAATTTCCAGCATAGATGCACACGTGTTGATTTAGCAGAGTGCAGTCAACAGAACCTGGATCAGCTTCAGGGCAGCTGGCCCAGAGCATTCTGGGAGGATGGCAGTGCTCTCTGCAGTTTAAGCTTTGGGATACCGGGTACTCGAAGCATGGCTCCTGAGAGGAGGTTCTGAATTTTTAATTTTATTTCTTGAAATTTATTTAAATATAAATAAGCATAGATGCTACTGAGGCCCACACTAAAATGCACAGGTTTAAAGAGCTAAGATGAGAAAGGCACGGCTCCCCTCCCCTGGAGCTTCCTGGCAGAGTACCTTGCTGCTGTGATCTGGGCATCCAAGGATGGGTGCTTCCCGGGCACATGCACAAGAAGCAGGCCCTGTGAGGCCCGGGGGTGCTAACACATGGAGGACAGCAGCCTGGTCCAGAGGGCTCCTCGGCAGGGGCACGCTTGTGACAGAGAATGAGCATCCTCTGCAAACACTGTCCAGACAGGAGCGCAGGAGGCAAGCGGGGACACCTACCCTGGATGGGACCCCATTCAGACCCCTGGGTTCATGTGGGGCTCAACAGACTGCACGGCGTGAGCGGGAGAGCTTTTCACACGTGAGCTGGATCTCGGCACAGGGCTGTTTGCATTAGAACACCACTGCAGCCCAGAAAAGGTGCTCAGGGCTGAGCTCTGAGATGAGAAGGAATGAGACGGACACAGTCCCTGCGCTCCCAGTGACCAGTCATGGTCAGGATTCCTCCAGCCAGGAGAGAGAAAATACAGACTTTAGGAATGGGGATTTCAAGACAATCTCAGAGAAACTCTCAAAATGATGTCTTAGGGGTTATACAAAAGAGTCACACGGTGTCATTACCACCAACAGACAGAGAGATAAAGAAGACATGGGGAAAAAAATGTTCCTCTCGCTGGATGCCTAGGTAGACTGCCAGGCAGTGCTCAGACCGGCCACAAAGTCCAGGCTCTGCTCCTTCCCCTCGGATGGGGTCTGAACATCCTGCCTGGACCCAGGGCATAACATTCACTGACTCTCCTAAACTTCCAAACTTGGCTTCCCCTCATGCCTTCCTTCTCCAGCGCAAAATCATGTTCCTTTTCAGGCCCAGGCTGAGGCTGTGCCCTGCTCTCTCTCTCATGGAGCCCACTGGGCAGTCGGCCATACATTCTTAGAACCTCAGTATTGGTAACATTGATTTGTACCTTTAATCAAACACCACAGTAGGTCCCCTCAGTGCCCCAGACAAACTGATCTGGAAATTAAGATGACTAGGGGAATTCCGTTATGAGGACATAGGTTCTGGGACACGTAAGGGACATTTTAAAATCGTGCAGCCTCACTGTGTTGAGAAGTGGGGAAAATGCCATCACCCACAGAGCAAACCACCTTGACTTGCTTTTGCACAACCCTTCGGAAGCAAACAAGAACCTTTATCAAGCGTGGGTTCAACGAGGACATCATGAAACCTCTGCTGTCCTACAGCTGAGTGCGTCTTTCCCCGCCTTGCAATGCGTGAGCCACCCTACATCCTGCTAGGAGGAAGGCAAGGGCTCACCCTGCCTCTCAGACCCACGGGCAAACCCCTTGGTTCCCTTGCCCCTGTTGCTGTGTTTCCCTTGCCCTGTTGCCCTGGTGCCCCTTTCTGGGGCAAACAAGGGACATTTTAAAATCACACAGCCTCATTCTATTGAAAAGTAGGAAAAACACTGTCACCTACGCAGCAATCCAAATGACATATAAGAAGTTTCTACCACGCACACTCCAAAGAAACTCAAACCAGAGTTGGCTCATTTTAGATTCATATGGACTAAAACCAACCACCTTGACTTGTTTTTTGCACAGGCCTTCAGAGGCAAAGAAGAACCTTTGTCAACAGTGGAGGCAACGGGAGCATCACGGAGCCTCTGCTGTCCCACAGCTGTTTGTCTTTCCCCACCTGCAATTCACAAGCCACCCTCCATCCTGCTAGGAGGAAGGCAAGGGCTCACCCTGCCTCTCAGACCCTCGGGCAAACCCCTTGGTTCTCTTGTCCTGTTGCTGTGTTTCCTGAGCCGAACACACAGAAACCATGACTAGTGCTGCAGGCTGAGCCTCTACATTATCTATTCTGGGTCACATTATCTGATGGTCAATATGAGGCCGCAACAGAGAGTCGGATGAATTCACCCCAACCCTGCCTTCAGGCTCCTCTTTTCTCAGTCTCCTACCAAAACTGGCTGTGGCATGGGGCTGCCCCAGGGTCTCCCTGCACAGGAAGGAGCCCTGATCCACTCCCTGCTAAAGATGGATCGTGGAGGATCAATTCTGAAGGCTTTAGTAGAAAAGGCTTTTGAAGGAGGGAAGTGGCAACAGTGAGATGTCATGACCACTCCAATGCCAGGAGGAAATAGGAAGGCCTGTTACCAGGTGAGATTTATTAGAAACTGAGGTTTAGAAAGAAATTCCCAATGAAACAAAAAAAAACAATTAGCAGAGATACTGAAAACATTTTTGTTCTATTAGTACCCAGTGAACATTTGCATGGGTGTTGACAGGATTTCCTTTAGGTTAACTAACGTATCCTTTGCATGCGGTAAACTGCACTCTTTGTAAGATGACACTTTCAGTGATAATTACCTATGCATATCATCAGGCATCCCCCGACACACACCCAGGCACACTGAGCATCACACCGTATGTATTCACACAGACACACGCCAGACACGTGCACACAACCAACCCCATCCCACCGACAGAAAACAGAGCTGCTCCCAGGGACTGAAGAGTGTGGCCATCGCCCCTTATCTGAAAAACCCATTTCCCCCATTCACACTCAGGCTGTCTGTCTATGAAAAAGCCAGTGAGGCAGTGCCACATTCCTATCATCTGAAATATTCGTCCACACGGGAGACATTCCCCAGTACATACCATTCTCCTGGTCTGCGCAGGTAACCTGTAATAACAGAAAACACATTGCTATGAGCATCAGACCATGCTGTGTCCTGTGTGCACAGATGTCTTGTTCACTTGGTGACATTAGAAAAGCAGACGGGAAACAGTCAAAGGAACCCAAAATAAGAACAGGACCAACCGAATCATGCTAAAAACGTAAGCTGTTTCCTCTAACTCCATGTTGCTTGGCAATTAAGTAATTTTGTTCCAAAGAGAGAATCAAGCTGCTAAGGAAAAAGCTCACTGCCACTCAGACAGTGGCTGACGCTGTCATTTTCTCCTGCCATCTTAAATCAAACCTCAGTGGGGAACAGAGTCTCACTCTAAATTCTCCCTACCGAGGACACTGTGTAAGTCACCTACGATACATACGGTCAGATTCTCGTATCTTATTTTAATTCAAGAAAATAAAGCTAAGAAAGTAACTTTTTCGGCCGGGCACGGTGGCTCATGCCTGTAATCCCAGCACTTTGGGAGGCCGAGGCGGGCGGATCACAAAGTTGGGAGATCGAGACCACGGTGAAACCCTGTCTGTACTAAAAAAAAAAATACAAAAAATTAGCCGGGCGAGGTGGCAGCGCCGGTAGTCCCAGCTACTCGGGAGGCTGAGGCAGGAGAAGGGCAGGAACCCGGGAGGCGGAGCTTGCAGTGAGCCGAGATCGCGCCACTGCACTCCAGCCTGGGCTACAGAGGGAGACTCCGTCTCAAAAAAAAAAAAAAAGAAAGAAAGTAACTTTTTCATTGACAAAAGCAGGTGGCCTGACCTTCAAATGCTGGGGAACATCCTCAGCTGAGCCTTTGTTGCTGTCTTCCAGGGACTCCTCCTTGCAACCTAGGAGGACAAAGAGTGACGGTCAGCGGGTGCGAGGCAGGAGCAGGGAAAAATGGCTCTGTAGCCCCAGGCCACCTCATCAATGTGAAATAACCCATATCGAACAGGACACAGCACCCAGGGCAGGCTGTGCGTCCCTGCAGCCTCTCAGGGCTCCTGCCTCCTAATCGGACCTGAGCTCACTTGCCCTCCCTTCCTGAGTCCTTCCAACGCCATTTCCTCCCTAGAACCCACCTGTGGTGCTTCTGTATATATCAGTCATTCTAGAATATTTACACTTGGTAAAAAGCAGCCTTTGTTCTGAGAGACTTCATTCTAGCCCCAGTATTCTATACATTCACCAATCTTTTGTGTTAAAGACAATAAAACGAAGCTGTAAAAATACTCAATTATATTCTATTTAAAGATAACCCCACTTAGCAAGTGCTGGCCGTCCTTGCACTCAGCCTTCTCAATGCGATGTCTGTGTGTCGGGGTCCCCTGCTGCTCACACGCACACTGGCTGTGACACTGGGACAGCACGTCATGGGGGCAGCAGGTGGCAGCACTGACCATCTCCAACCCAGCTGTGCCGGGACGACGGCAGGGGAGTCGGTGGGAGGCCAACACCCAAGTTGTGTCTGGAGACCACATTTGGCGCTGTGTCTCCATTGTGTTTACTACTCAGCGGAAGCATTTTTTTTTCTTTTTTTCTTTTTTTCTTTTTTTCTTTTTTTTATAGAGGCTCTCTGTAACCCAAGCTGGAGTGTAGGGGCATGATCTCTGTTCACTGGAACCTCTGCTTCCTGGGATCAAGTGATCCTCCCAACTGAGCATTCCAGGTAGCTGGGACTACAGGTATGCAACCATGCCCAGGCAATCTTTTGTATTTTTAGCAGATACACGGTTTCATCATGTTGCCTAGGCTGATCTCCAACTGGACTCAAGTGATCCACTTGTCTCAGCCTCTCAAACTACTAGGATTACAGGCGTGAGCCACTGTTCCTGGCCAACTGGAGTGTTTCTAAGGCTTGTGATAATCATGTTATTAAATACAATAGAGCATGTTCCTGAGTATTCCCTGCTTTTGACCACAAGCTGAGAAATGACCCCACCGCTACTGCCAGAAGCCTGTGAGCTCGCTCTGTGTGTTTCACACTAATGACCACACCAAAGTCCAGTGTAAAATGTACCTACTGCTACCCTGGGTTAGGCAACCTTTTGAGCCCTGCCTACAATGACAGACAGTGTTGGGACCTCTCTAGACTCTCATCCTTCCACATGCACACACAGAGGCTGGAACTCCCTGGACTAATGGTGAGTTATACCAGGGCTGGCTGGTGAATGCACAATAGTCACCCACTGCATCAATCATCCTCCCATTCCTGAGTTCACATTCGCCTCTTGCATTTAGGAGATTGAGAGCCTGGGAAATTCATCTCTGCATCGTCTCTATCTGAGGATGAGGATATAAAATTTACCTTCAGGTACAGCTGTGGGGGAGGATGAATGCGTTACTTTATGTGAAGTGTGCAGTGGTGATGCAACTTCTTAGAAACATTGCTCCTTGGGTTGTGCTCTGCACAGGGGAACATGCTTTCTGGGGAAATGCCCACACACTCCCAAAGACATTCCCAATCCCTCCACATGACTCTCTCCTCCGTACCTCCCGACCCTGAGGCACAACACACTGTTCCATCTACATGACAATCCTGCCTCCCCGGATTCGAGTGATGGTCATAGTTCTCAACTGGACTCAGTGTTTTTTATACCAAACTGTCCAAACCTCATTTCTCTCAGGAAGCTCAAACCAAAGTGGCTCTCCAGCAAAAGCAGGCGAGCAAGTGCCACCTTTTGCAACCCTGACGATCTTTTCTTAGCAAAGGAGTGATTCCAGAACACACACCTTTTTCTTCAGGCAGTCCGCCGGCCTGCATTGAGAGAGAGAAAAACACTGTGAGTTTCAGACCATCCGAGTCCCGTGGGCATAGGTCTGTTCTTCACTTGGTGGCAGTAGAAAAGCAGATGGAAAACAGTGATCAAGTCAAGGGAACCCAAAAGGACAGGAAAAATGGACTCATGCTAAAGTTTCAGGGGGGTTTTGGTTTTTTTGTTTGTTTGTTTTTGTTTTTTTAGACGGAGTCTTCCTCTGTAGCCCAGGCTGGAGTGTGGTGGCATGATCTCTGCTCTCCACAACCTCCAATTCCCGGATTCAAGCAATTCTCCTGTCTCAGCCTCCCGAGTAGCTGGGACTACAGGCGCCCACCACCATGCCCGGCTAATTTTTTGTATTTTTAGTAGAGACGAGGTTTCACCCTGTTAGCCAGGATGGTCTCGATCTCCTGACCTCATGATCCGCCCGTCTCAGCCTCCCAAAGTGCTGGGATTACAGGCGGGAGCCACCGCGCCCGGCCTAAAGTTTCTCCTGGAGGATGTTTCCTCTCAAGGTCATGTTCCTTGGCAATTAAGTGATTTTGCCCCAAGGAGAAAATCAAGCTGCTGAGGAGAAAGCTCACTGCCGCTCAGTGCGTGGCTGATGCTGTCATTTTCTCCCGCCGTCTTAAATCAAACCTTAGTGGGGAACAGACTCACTCAGAATTCCCCCCACCAAGGACACTGTGTAAGTCACCAATGATATATACGGCCAGATTCTCGTATCTTATTTTAATTCAAGAAGATAAGGCTAAGAAACTAACTTTTTCTGTGACAACAGCAGGTGGCCTGACCTGCCACTGTCGTGGGGCCTCCTCATCTGATTCATAGATGAATTTTTCCACGGGACCCTCCATGGGACCTAGGAGGACACAGAGTGACCATCAGGAGGTGCAGGGGAGGAGCAGGGAAGGCTTTTGATCCTCAGGCCGCCTCATCAATGTAAAACAGCCCATCTCGAACAGGGCACAGCACCCAGGGCAGGCTGGGTGTCCCTGCAGCCTCTCAGGGCTCCCGCCTCCTCATCTGACCCGAGCTCACTTGCCCTCCCTTCCTGCATCCTTCCAACGTCATTTCCTCCCTAGAATCCACCTGTGCTGCTGCTGTAACTATCATCCCACCTAGCAACCTTTCTTTAAAGAGAAGACTTAATTGTAACCAAAATATTCTAATTATTTCCTCGTCATTTTTGAAGGCAATGAAATAAAGCTTTGAAAATACTCAGTTTTCTTCCTATTTAAAGGTAACCCCTATTTAGCACCTGCTATCTGTCCTTCCACTCTCTCTTTTCCATACATGTGTGTGTGTGTCCGTGGAGTCTGTTGCTGCTCACACTTACACTGGCTTTGACACTGGGACAGCCTGTCATGCGGGCAGCATGTGGGGGCACTGACCCTCTCTAACCCAGCTATTGGAGATTCCAGCAGGGAAGAGGGGGCACCAGGCTGACACCCAAGTTGTTTTTGACACCATATTGGGCGCTACTTCTTGGGTGTGTGTGTCACTAAGCTGGAGCATTTCTAAGGCTCGTGGTCATCATGATTTTGGTTTGGTTTTTTGTGGCGGGATCTCACTCTGTTTCCCAGATGGGATGCAGTGGCACAATCAGGGCTCACTGAAGACTCCACCTGCCAGGCTAAAGCAATCCTCTGGCCTCAGCCTCCTGAGAAACTGGGAATATAGGAGCACGTCACCACGCCCGGCTAATTTTTGTGTTTTTTGTAGAGATGTGGTTTTACTATGTTGCCCAGGCTGATCTGAAACTCCTGGGCTCAAGTGATCCTCCTGCCTCAACCTCCCAAAGTGCTGGGATTATAGGCACGAGCCTCCCCATTGGGTCCAATCATATCTTTAAACACAATAGGACATATCCCTGATTATTCTCTGCTTTTGAACAGCAGCTGAGAAATGACACCACCACTGCAGCCAAAAGCCTGTGACTCCCCTATGTGTGTTTCACATGAAGGACCACCCCAGACTCCACTGTGTTGCTACCCTGCCTTTCACCATCACTGAGGACATCTTACAGTGCTGGGCAGTGTTGGGATCTCTCTAGGCTGTTGTGCCTCCACATGCACACACAGATGCTGGAACTCCCTGGTGTGGTGACGAGTTATACCAGGACCATGTGAGGACTGCGGAGCAGCAGCCCATCACGTCCACCTTTCACCCCTTCCTGAGTTCACATTTGCCTTTTCCATTCAGGGAATTGAGAGCTTGGGAAATTCATCTCTCCACCATCTCCAATCTGAGGACGGGGGATGTTCAACTAACCTTCCGGTACAGCTGTGGTGAAGGATGAAGTGTTGACTGATGTGGGGATGGAATGTTGTTTCTAGAACATTGATCCTTGGGGCGTGCTTTGCACAGGGGAACATGCTTTCTAGAGAAATGCACACACACTCCCAAAGGCATTCACCATCACTCCACACGGACTCTCTCCTCCATACCTCTCCACCCCGATGCACCCTATTCCTATTTAAATGACATCACTGCTTCTGGAAACTACCGTGGATGGTCACAGTTGCTGACTCAACTCTTCATTTTTTTACACCAAACCGCCCAAACCTCATTTCCAGCAGGAAGCTCAAACCAGCAAAAGCCGGGAGGAAAGCGTCACCTTTCTCAACACTAAGATATTTTCTTAGCAAATGGGTGACCCGCAGAATACATACCGCTTGCCCAAAGCGCTGAGTCCCTCTGCAGAGAGAAAGGAAAACACCGTGAGTGTCAGACCAGGCTGTGTCCTGTGTGCACAGGTCTTTTCTTCAGTGGCTGACATTAGAAAACCAGATAAGAAATAGTGTTTGATGCAATGGCCCCAAAATAAAGCCTAGAAGACACTTGTGGAAAGGCAGGCACGAGAGTTTTGTCTAAGACTTTCATATGATTTTTGTTGTAAATCCACCATTGTTTTCAAACAGTAAGCACTTCTCCTGAGGAAAAGGTTACCTGCACACAGTTTGTAACTGAAGGTGTCATCTATGTGTGCCATCATGACCTAGCTGGTCATGAACTCTCACATTTTCCCACCAAGAAATTCTATAACTTATCTATAATGTCCATGGTAAGGTTTGCATATCTTAATTCAAATGAAATAGGAAGAAGCCAAGAGAAATACAATTCCCATCTTAGTCAATGAAAGATCTTACATTGACAACGGCCACGACTTTCTCTGTGGACTTCTCGCTAGGAAGCTCTGCTGCAAGAAACTTGAAACCTAGGAAACACGAGAGTCACTGTCAGCGCATGGGAGCTGCGGAAGGATCCCTCAGGCAGCCTTGGGTGCTGTGGACGGGGGGCTGGCGTGTGTGGAAAAGGTGGGTTAACAGCACGAGCTGAGCTGCTGCTGGCCGTCCTCCTTAGTGGAGAAGGAAGGCAAAGGAGACCATCAGGAAGGCCCTGGGAGACAGAGCCTTGGTTCTCTAGCTAAGCCACCCTCATCGGTGTGAAAGCTGATCTCAAACAGGGTACAGCATACAATGTGGCTGTGTTTCAACAGCGTCTCAGGGAGTCTTCTATTCAAACCTGAGCTAAAAGCTAAGTTTTGTTTTGTTTTGCTTTGTGACAGAGTCTCCCTCTGTCACCCAGGCTGGAGTGCAGTGGCATAATCTTGGCTCACTGCAAGCTCTGCCTCCTGGGTTCGCGCCATTCTCCTGCCTCAGCCTCCTGAGTAGCTGGGACTACAGGTGCCCGCCACCACGCCCAGCTAATTGTTTGTATTTTTAATAGAGACGGGATTTCACCGTGTTAGCCAGGATGGTCTCCATCTCCTGACCTTGTGATCCATCTGCCTCGGTCTCCAAAGTGCTGGGATTACAGGCGTGAGCCACCACGCCCAGACTTTTTCTTTTTTTTTTTTTTGAGATGGTCTCGCTCTGTCACCCAGGCTGGAGTGCTGTGGTTCAATCACAACTCACTGCAGCCTCAACCTTCCAAGCCCAGGTGGATCCTTTGCCTCAGCCTCCAAGTCGCTAAAACTACAGATGCCCCCATCGTGCCCAGCTGATTTCTTGTATTTTTTGTAGAAATGGGGTTTTGCAGGCCGGGCGCGGTGGTTCAAGCCTGTAATCCCAGCACTTTGGGAGGCCGAGACGGGCGGATCATGAGGTCAGGAGATCGAGACCATCCTGGCTAACATAGTGAAACCCCGTCTCTACTAAAAAATATACAAAAAACTAGCCGGGCGAGGTGGCGGGCTCCTGTAGTCCCAGCTACTCGGGAGGCTGAGGCAGGAGAATGGCGTAAACCCGGGAGGCGGAGCTTGCAGTGAGCCGAGATCTGGCCACTGCACTCCAGCCTGGGCTACAGAGCAAGACTCCGCCTCAAAAAAAAAAAAAAAAAAAAAGAAATGGGGTTTTGCCAGGTTGCCCAGGCTGGTCTTGAACTCCTGGGCTCAAGCAATACACCCACCATGGCCTCCAAAAGTACTGGGATTACAGGCGTAAGCCACAGGTCCTGGCCTATGCTGCCTTCCTGATCCCTTCTGAGGGCATTTACTCCCAGGACCCATCCGCACTGCTGTGTGGATCACCCCTCCTATAAGATTTCTTACTTCATAAAATCAGCCCTTCTTTCAAAATATGTAATTCAGCCAAAATATTCTGTAACATTTATCTGTCAAACATCTGTTTTAAGGAAAATCAAAGATTTGAAAATATACTTATCCTACCATTTAAACATGACATGTCACATGTGCTATCTGTCCTTCCGGCCTCTCTTTTCAACACAACACGTGTCCAGGGAGTCTGCTACTGCTCAGGCTCCCTCTGGCTCTGACACTGGGAGAGCCCGTCCTGGAAGCAGCAGGTGGGGGCGCTGACCCTCTCATCCCAGCTGTGCAGGAATTCCAGCAGGGGAGACGGGCACCAGGCTAACGCCCAAGCTGTTCCTTGAGCCCCTGTTTGATGCTGTGCCTTAGGTGTGTGTGCTAGTGAACTGGAGCATTTCTAAGGCTTGTGGTTACTATGTTCTCAAATACAACAGAATGTGTCCCTGATTATTCTCTGCTCTTGACCGGGGGCTGAGGAATGAACCCATCATGCCGCCAAAACCCTCTGAGCTCTGCAAGTGTGCCTCACATTAATGACCACACCAGATTCCACTGTAAAATGTAGCTATTCCTACCCGGTGTTAGGTGACCACTAAGACCGTCCTGTAATGACAGTGCTTAAAATCTCTGCAGGCTAGCACACCTCCACATGCGCACATAGGAGCTGGAACTCCTTGGCATGGTGATGAGTTATGCCACGGCTGTCTGATAAATGCACAATAGTAGCCCGTCGCATCCATGTTTCACCCATTCTTGAGTTCACATTTGTCTCTTCCACTTAGGAGACCAAGAGCTTGGGATATTCATGTCCACACCATCTCTATCTGAGGAGTGAGGACAGGAAACTTACCTTCAGGTACAGCTGCCATGGAGGATGAAAGGGTTGATTGATGTGACGTGTACAATGGTGATGAATTTTGTGTTTAGAACGGTAATCCTTGTGTTGTGCTTTGCACATAGGAACACACTTTCTGGGGAAATGCACGCACGCTCCCAAAGACATTTATGATCCTTTTACACAGACTCTCTCCTCCACACCTCCCAACCCTGATACACACCACCCTCTTCCATCTAAATGACACTACTGCTTCAGGGACTGTGGGGGGACCCCCGGAAACTATTGCTACAGAAGAAAAGATGAAATGCCCCTGATTATTGTAAATACAAAATTGCAAGTGGGATAGTGTAAAGACAATGCCAGGTTGGGCTGCCAGAATGAGCCAACAGCGCGTGATGTGCTTCCCCCTGCAGAGAGCCTATGAATGGACATGCAGTCAGGGAGGTTTCACATCACCAAGATTCCTATCCCAGAAAAGCAGATGTTCATAGTTCTGGGAATGGAATGCAACCCTTGTGGAGAGCCTATAAACGGACACATGAGCACGTGCCATCATTATTCACCTACCGCATTGAATCAATTGTCACATACGATGCGGGGCTTTTCTGGAAGGCTGGCGGTTCCCTCCCCAAACAAGGTCCCAGAGAAGTCTAACGCTTTCTCTAATCACTCCACCATCCTTACCACCCTGTGCTACCACCTTGAGTAGTGAGGGATCGAGTTACTTAATGTTCTTTCTCTTTCATTTTCTCTAAAATAAATACAAATTTTTAAAATGCTACTTCTAGATCTGTCACAGTGACTCACACCTGTAATCCTAGCAACCTTGGGAGGCTGAGGCAGGAGAATCACTTGAAACCAGGAGTTTGAGACCAGCCTGGGCAACATAGCAAGACTCCATGTCTATAATAGGTATTATGCTGTATTTGCTACAGATTTTATTGACAATCATTTTTATACTTTCTTGTAATTCGCACACCTTCCTTTTAGAATCTACATTTTATTTTATATATAAGATATAATATAAACTACTTCATATCAGATAATTTATATTTCAAATAATATTCATAGTTTATAAAGTACACAAGGATATCTGAACATCTATTTGTAAAAGGGACATTATAAGAAAAAGAAACTGGGGAGGAAAGACAAAAAAAAATTCAGAGAGAGTGAATAGAATTATTTTCAGTATTCTAGAATAAGAAAATTGGATGCTATTTCACTCGTTCTAATAGTTTATATTGGTGGAATATTATCTATACTATCTTAGCATGAGTAAACATCCCACCCAACAGTATGTTTTATTTTTTCTCTCTTGTACATATTGTAATTGTTATTAGGTTAAGTTTGCGTGAGACCTTCAGGTTAAATCTGAGAATAAAAGAAAAATTAATTGGAAAAAAAAAAAACGGACACATGAGGGGCACCTGTTCATATGGATAAGATAGGGCTATAAACGCCCTCATCTTGCCATGGCTCTTCTAGGCCTCTTTAGGGTTAAGACATACTCCCTTCTGAGAATTTCTGGTCTAACCAGTTGTCTAGCTTCACGTCCTGTTTCTATGGATTGTTTGTAACCAGCTTTTGCTGCAACTGTTACTGCTGATTAATACATTGCTAATCATAGGTTATGGAAAGACTGTGTTTCTGTTTTAAGGCTCTGTTAGAAATTAGATGCACACACTACATTGTAAATTCTTATCTCTGTATACTGTGCTTCTGCATACAGATGTTATGTTAAAGAATTACTTCATCCCCATGTGACTGTCTCACCTCATAATCAAATGACCCTAAATCCCTCACTAACCTACCTCTGCCCTCACTAAACTTAGTAATAAATGCTGGTATATCCAGTGCATTGGCGGCATCGCAGGACCAGAAGGCAGTGACTCCCCTGGACCCAGCTTTCACTATATAGTGTGTCTATTATTTCTCAACCTGCCAATCTGCCTGGGAACAAAGAAAGAGCCCCGTTGCCTTGCAGGCTGCTGGCCAGAGCCCACAGTATCTGGCGCCCAACGTGGCTTCTTTGTTCCTCAGCTCAGTGCACTCCGAGTGCGGGTTTGTGACCACTAGTCTTCTGTCTCGACGGTAAGGTCTCTGTGTGTGTGTTTTCCAACTCTCCCCTCTTTTCAGATTTGTCAACCGGTATCATTCCAGGGTTATGATGGGACAATCACATCTAAACACCAGGCTTATCTGTCTTTTATTAAACTTCTTAAACAGGGTGGAATCAAGGCTGATTCCAATAACTTTATTCTCTTATTTCAGACTATTGAAAAATATTGTCCTTGGTTACCTGACAAAGGTTCTATGGACCTGTTAGACGGGGATAGAGTTGGCACCACGCTCCGCCAACTCATGAGAGATGGTGTTTTACTTCCTATTTCTGTTTGGACTGACTGGGCTCTTATTCATGTTGCTTTACTTCCTTTTCAGTCTGGTGATCCTCTTCAACTGCCACAAGTTAACACGGATGGTGAACCGCTCCCTTTACCTTGGGTACCTGACTCCCCCACTAGTCCTCCTTCTGATCATGAGGAGGAATTCCATCTCTCCTTGTTTTCTCCCCAAGAGGAGGAACCTGGTGATGATCCCCTCCCTCCACCTCCTATCTTGGAACCCGTATATGTTAACTCTTCTTTTACTAGGCCATTGCCCCCTCTGCCAGAGGAGGACATGTGGCATTCATCTGAATGGGCTTTCTCTTGTTCCTCTTGCCCTTTGGGACCTCTCTCCTCTTCTAAGCCTACTCTTTCTTTCAAAGCTCCAGGACCCCTCCTTTCAGAGGCTTGGAATCCTGCTTCCCCCAAGTCCGTGTCCTGGCGCC